GCAGTGGATTTAAAAGTTCACAAAAAACTTCTCTAGAAGCTGTATATGACATTAGGAAATCCATCAAACATAATCAAACAGGGCTCGATAACAGGTCAGCCATTTCACTCTAATTGTAAACAAACTAGCAAAGCGACTAAAATCGGAGCATAGGATGTTTTTGGTCTCACAAACAAAGAACCATAAATAGTAGAATTCATGATGAAACTTAAGACTAATATAATGGGAATATCAGATTGCAAAAAAAAAAAAAAGACAAGAATACAAAAGAAATCCATAACAACTATATCATCTTCTGGAGTGGCGTCAAGAAGGAGCAGAGAGCAACTCACGAAATAGGTTTTATTCTCCTTCCAGACATAGAAAAACATATCAAGAATATAGAGTATGAATCTGAAAGGATAATAATATTACAAACTTTACGGGAAAGCAAGAAATACAAGCACTGTGCAGACATATGCACCCACTAATGATGGTTACACCTTAGAAGAAAAAGACAAAATCTCTGACTCATTGTCCAATGTTATCAGTCAGATATATGCAAATAATGATCTAATGGTAATGGGGAACTTAAATGGACACATAGGGCAGAGACAAATGCCATTAGGAATAATATTTTGGGCCATTTACAGACACCAGCAAAGACTGCAACTACAATGGCCAGCGTATCTTGGAACTGTGTGCATAGGTTTTTATTACCAACAGTTTCTATAAGCATCACAAGAGCCAGGTAAACACCTGGTTTAAATGGGACAACCCAGACCAGCCCACACAGTTAGACTTCATACTGAATCGACAAAAAAGGAGAAAACTGGTAAAGGATGCAAGAGTAAACCACATCACATTAAATACTGACTATCGACCACAGGTTGTATATCTAAACAAAGCAAAACAGTCAGCAAAAAAGCAAAGAGAGCAATACATACCACAATGATTGACAAGAAAACTAAGCGACCTAGACCACCAAGCAAAGGTTAGGACAAAAATCATGATAAAGGTAGGTGAGCTAACAACAAGTGACAGTATAGAAACAACATGGCAAACATTTAAGAGTACGCTCCTAAACTGCTTAACAACACACTGTGTTATCAGACCAACAGGAGGAATATCGAGGAAAAGAACAGCATTGTGGAATGATAACACAAAACAAGCAGTGAAAATTAAAAAGGAGAAATACAAGAAATGTCTAAGATCCTGCTCAGATGATGACTACACAGCGTATAGAGTAGCAAGGCGAAAATTTGTAAGAGAAATCAAACAAGCCAAGAAAACATCTTGGATCATGTATGGGGAAAATCTGACCAAACTTTCTGCTAATTCTACTTGACAGTTTTACAAAACCAATGCATAGATGAAAACCAGAGATTACCCATTCCAACCATCAGAATATGTCAATGACAGCCAAGGCAGACCCACAAATGAAGAAAGTAAGATCAGAGAAAGACGAAAAGAATAATTCCAAACTTTTCTGAACATAAGAGAAAAGGAAGAGCTATTTATAGAGAAAATGAAAGCGTCATCAGAACAAGAGCTGGCCTCACAGACTGGTTCCCAGTAACATCAGGAGTAAGGCAAGGGTGTGTTTTTTCACCTTTACTTTTTATAATATTCAAGGACAATATTAATAAAATAGACATAACACTACCATCATCATCATGTAGCAGGTCCCTTGCAGAACGTCGCTCTCATCACAGTCTGCCTGAAAAAGATTCAGTCTCTCACCAGTTCTCCTGCCTCATGCACTTTTCACACTCAAGGAGTCACTTATATCCTGTGCCTATCTTCATGTTGGTTGGCCCCTGCCCCTCCTTCCTGGTACCATACCTTCTGCTATCATTTTTTCCAATCCGTCATGGCACTTGATATGACCAAAATATTTCAGCTTTCGAGAAAGGAAGCTGTTTATTAGCCAATCTTCCTTGATGTTCAGATCTTTTAAGATGTCAATATTTCTCATCTTCTTTGTCCAAGATATTCTGAGAATCATAACACTACCAGATGTCGATAAACAGGATGATTTCAATTAGCTCTTCTTTGCTGACAATCTGCATATTCCACAGTGAAAGTAAACAGCTGCAGGACAACATAAACTAATTACATGATAGGTGTCTCAAACATCAAATGAAGATCAATTTTGAAAAAACAGAAGTCATGAGAATAAGAAGAGAGCAACAATCAATCATAAAGATCAAAGTCTGAAACAAGTGCAAGAATTTAAATACTTTGGAAGCATCTTTACATACAACAGTAAAACAGACAGGGAAATAGAAATGAGAATCCAACAAGCCAACAATGTCACATGCCAACTTGCTCTAATTTTAAAACACCCTGCTATCCCAATCAAGACAAAAAGACAAATTATAAAAACAATATTTATACCGATTTTAGGTTACCAATATTTGTTTTGGACATTGATAAAAGAACACGAGTGAAAACTAACCACCTGTGAGATGACATGTTTGAGAATGGCTAAGAATAAAACCAGAAGAGATCGAGTAAGAAACAATGTGTTCACAAGAAACATTGGAACAACACCCATTGCCACATTTATTGAGAAACAAAGAATTAAATGGCTTTTCCATCTAATGAGAATGAAACCAACAATGCCTGCAGCAAGAGTGTACAACCTGAAAATCAAAACATCCCACAGGCAGGGTTAGACTGAGAAGAAGATGGATTAAAGGAGTCACTGACACCTTGAGAATGCATAACATCACAGCAGCGCACACTGGCTCGGCTGCCTATCATCTGATGAACTGTTTACAAAGTCACCACAAATATCCCATTAAATTAACAAGGAAGGCTAACCTAGATAATAAATGCATGAAGAAGTCAGATGTTTCAGCTGAAAGGTGTATTATGTCACTCGGACGGATGTGGATGAAGGAGAAGAATTGCCATAAATTCACTGTTGTGAGTAAATGTGTGTGGATTGTTCAAGTCATAACAACAGACCTGCAGCTTAGCTGGCATGGAAATTTGGTAATGACAAAGTCCTCTCTTGGAAAATAGTCATCCTAGTGGTGTGCAGGCTCAGGCTTGAGATTTAGAATGTAGGATATGTTTCATCTTCTATAATGCAGATTCTGCAAAGTCTTTTCAATGTGATATTATGAATACTGCTATCAAATATTTTGATTTAGTGCCTTAGTTTATCATTGTGCTTTTATTGTAGTATCATATGTTTATGAATTCTTGTTGTTTTAAAAACAAATTTTCATCATTTTCAAGTGTTTTTGTGGCTCATAAAAAGAACCTTCTGGTATCATCTGTGGAAGAAGACTGGCAAATTAATGGCAACATCTTATTGCAATGATGGTTCACAACGTGTCAACATTTGCTACATTCTAAACAATATTCATGGCTTTACCTTAACTCTTTCCACTTGTAACCTTTTTTCCTGCAATGTGTTCTGAAGAGCAGTCTCAGCTGTTAACTGGTCTTCAAAGTCTTTCAGCCATCTCTGCAGCTGTAGAAGACTGTCATCAAATACTGTCCATTGGGCAAAAGTGAGGCTGTGGTTTTCTCTGACATCATTAAGTTTAGCAGACAATGAGTCATACTCCTGCTGAATAACCTGGAGGTCATGTCGCATGTCCTCTCTGCCAGCCACAGATGTGTTGGGTAGAACAGTCTGAATTTTGTCTAATGCTATTTGTAACAAATGTATGCCTTCTTCTTTTTCATGTAGAAGATTCTGTGAAATTGTCAGTAATATAAATTAGCCTCAAAGTGTGTGCAGCTTCTTGACAATCTTCAAAAGCATGAGCAGATTTTTGAAATCTTATGACATGTCACAAAATAATAAATGATTTTGTAAATCACATTATGTGGAGAAACATTAACCCCCCCCCCCCCTCCCCCCCCCCCCCCCCCCCCCACAAGATGGTAAGCTGCTTGTTAGTAACACATGAAAGTTTTAAAGATTGGAGATAAGCTAAAATAACTGAGTATCTGGCAATCTGACATACTTTATTTAGACAGAATTGTTATCATTGCTTTGCTCCAGTTATGAAAGAAACCAAAAGCATTGACTTGAAGCACTTGTGGTACTGCACAAACTGAGATCAGATGTTAGCCAAACATTATTTATGTTTACTTTGTTTTAAACTCACATGTAAAGCTGTTAAATGTTCAAGTGGTTTATGTAACCTTTGCTCTAGTAAACTGTACATAGTTTTGATTCCTGGGACTGCTTATTTTGAGTGCACTGTTCTAGATAAAACTAATATAATACCTGTAATAAAAATGAAATTTTTTAAACATATTTATGTATATACACAACACTGGAGTGTGCAAAGCATCACAAGACAATATGCAAGGCTGTCCAATTATTCTAATAACTACAGAAACTACTGAGTCACATAGGAAAAATGTACGCCAAATTATTAGAACAGAGAGTTAGACCCATAGCTGAACAACAGCTGAGTGCAGCACAATTCGGTTTCAGAAAAGGCAGAGTATGCACAGATGCATTATTCACTCTGAGGCAAGTGTGTGAGAAAGCCATTGAGTATAATATCCATATCGTCTAAAACCATAGATTTATATCTATGAACAGGTTGACATGTTTACAGTGCCTTTACAGATTTTTCTATGTGAGGAATTCAATTGTTTTTAGAAAAGTCACTGTTTGTGCCACTGGAGAATATATTTTTACGTGTTATGGTAGTGTTATTCAAATTGCTATGGAACAACAACTTTTGCACATTTTGCTTCAATATTGGCTGTGCTTACTTATAAGTGGTGTACCTTCCTTTGTGATGCATTTTGGATATACTATATCAAGAATTTTGCGATAGCTTCTGGGTAAGTGGAAAAAACTTGTTCATAATTTGCTCACCTCTCAAACTAAGTCACTGTTTTCTCTACTAAATGCTAACTAACAGTATAATTGTTTGTTGTAGCAGTAAGCTAACATTAATCCTTATCCATTTATGTTTAATTTTATGTATGATATGTGTATGTTGGACATCAGCTGCAGTTGTGTGGTTTGTTTTAAAGTGCTGCATTTGTTAAAAGTGGAAAGAAACAAACTGTGGTCTATTCTTGAGAACTACGGAGTACAAGGACAGTTACTAGAGAACATCATAGCCATGTACCACACAAGCCAAAGTGCAATAAGAACACAAGAAGGCATATCAGATATGTTCACAGTCAACACAGGTGTGAGACAGGGATGTGTGCTCTCCCCGCTTTTATTTAACATCCATATAGACAGATTATCTAAAGAAGCAAGTTCTGATACAGACAACATAGACCTTTATAATCATGATGAAGTACACACATTAGGAGAAGTTATCAATTCACCCACATTAAACCAACTACTATTTGCTGACGACCAGTGCTTGTTCTACCCTGAAGAAGATAGACTGCAAGACCACATCAAAGGGGTCACTACACGACATTTTTTCCAATTTATGACAAAAATATCACTTTTTTAATGTGTTCGTTTTTGTAAAGTTTTGCATTCGTAGAATAGATTACACACAAAATTTATCTCATTTGTAAACAATTTAGCTTTGAAAAGTTAATACTAAAAGCACCAACCCATGCACTTTTTTAAGATAAAAAAAAGTTTAAAAGTCAGTTTTCTCACATCTCTATATTTTTGTTTGTTGTGTGTGTGAAATCCTAAAATCTCAGCTAATATAAAGACTAAAAACATGAAATTTAGTATGGATACTCTTAAACAATATTATAGAGACTGGTTTTTTTTTCAAAAGTAGATTTTAGAAAGTTGTTGTTGTTTTTAAATTTGATTATTGTCTTATGATGCAAGATTTTTTTGACTTTTTCAATAAACCTACATTTTAAAATTCTATGAAAAATATTTAAAAACATGTTTTAAGTAAATAAACTACACCTGTACCTCTAAATAGGATAAAAGGCAAAGAATCTCTCATCTATTCTTTATCTCTTTGAGTCCCAAGGAACGCGTCACGCGCTGATTTGTTACTACCTAGCGGCCCAAACAGCGCATGATGTGTGACGGTTTTTAATTTACCACTTATCGGTAATTACACGCGAACCGCTCAATTTAAACTTCCTTTCCGGTTCTCAAGTGTGTAGTGAACACACGTGGAGTGCATTCGTTTGGGTCTGGTGAGTTTTTAACGCTTTAAATCGATATTTAGGTGGTCTACTACGTTACCAAACAATTGTCTGAAAACAATATGTCCGATCAGTCATCGTCTTCACGCCCATCAAAGCGATTTACTGCTTTAGAATCATTAAATTTGATAAAACAGTGGATCGATTAAAGTAATGTGGAGTTGGAAAATGATAGTAGCGACGTGAAATTTCCCCAAACCGTTGACGAGTCAAGTTTTGATGAGGATGTGTGCGTAATTTACCTCCTGCTAAGAGGACAAAACTGACTAATTCTACCATGGCAACACAAGAGAAGCACCTCGTAATGCAAAACCAGCTAGTCCAAATGTCAGCGCTTCTAGTACTACTATCCATATCGTCTAAAACCATAGATTTATATCTATGAACAGGTTGACATGTTTACAGTGCCTTTACAGATTTTTCTATGTGAGGAATTCAATTGTTTTTAGAAAAGTCACTGTTTGTGCCACTGGGGAATATATTTTTACGTGTTATGGTAGTGTTATTCAAATTGCTATGGAACAACAACTTTTGCACATTTTGCTTCAATATTGGCTGTGCTTACTTATAAGTGGTGTACCTTCCTTTGTGATGCATTTTGGATATACTATATCAAGAATTTTGCGATAGCTTCTGGGTAAGTGGAAAAAACTTGTTCATAATTTGCTCACCTCTCAAACTAAGTCACTGTTTTCTCTACTAAATGCTAACTAACAGTATAATTGTTTGTTGTAGCAGTAAGCTAACATTAATCCTTATCCATTTATGTTTAATTTTATGTATGATATGTGTATGTTGGACATCAGCTGCAGTTGTGTGGTTTGTTTTAAAGTGCTGCATTTGTTAAAAGTCAAAATCAAATTTCCCCCACCCCCCCCCCCCCCTCTCTCCCTCCCCCTTTGGACCTGTGATGCAAAACCCCCTGGGACTCAAAGAGTTAATACGTATGGTTTTTTTTTTTTTTTTACAATTTTAGGATTTTAAGTACATGTTGTTTTTCCCCACAAGACATGACAACCATGATTTTGTCACACTTAAAGTATATAAATGTGATAACACATATTCCTTTATATGACCATTATAAAATAATTGCTCTAACTCTGTAAATACCCACACACACACACACACACACACATTTTTTTTACAGGTTAGACATGCAGTAAATACAACATGAAGATTAATGCAAACAAAACCAAAACTATGCAAGTTAGAAGAACCCCTGCCCCACTACACATACAGCTGAATGGTTCTGCTCTGAATCAAGTTAGGGAGTTTAAATAACTAGGAAGTATGATCACAGAAGATGGTAGAATTTACAGAGAAATAGAAACCAGATGTCAGAAAAAAAAGTGCACTTATATACTAATTGCCACCATTATTAACCCTTTCGCTGCTATGGACATCTTTTCCCATTTTCCCGTACGCTGCTACGCCCGTCTTTGGATTTTTTTTTTTTTGGTGACCCCCCAGTGCTATGGACGTACCAACCCGTTTTTGGACTTTCCTTACAGATTTCTGTGACCTCTTGTATCAGGGGCCAAAGGGCAATATCCAGTAGCTATATTTAGATTCAACTGACCCATTTACATACGATTAAAAGCACTGGCATGTGCGTTTAGGTGTGTTTAAGGTGTGTTTACTGCATTCCCCGTTATCCCGACTCTTTGTTTACCGTGACAGCGTGGTCGGTGATCTTTGTATTTTGTGCCCTGATATATATTTCTGGGTTTGGGTTATTCTAGACTTCGTTAGTAATAAATGACAAAAAAAAACTTGTTAAAGTTGATGAAGAATTGATGGAGTTTTTTTCAAGGAGTGATAGCGAAGATGACTTTGAAATGTGTACTTCTGACAGTGAACAAGAAGATTCGACTAGGCCATCAATATAGACGGCTCGAACCGGCGTGTTCGAGAAAAAGTTGTTAGCCTGTCTGACGTCCTTCATCATCGGAATCAGAGATCAGCGAATTGAAGTGCCATCAAAACAGCAAAAAACTGATCAGTTGTCTTGGTCAACCGATGATTTGATACCAGTAGTGACAAATTTTGCTCTGACTGTATTTCTGCTACTGTAAATTCAAACAGTTCAGTGCTTGATTTTTTTTCCTACTTTTTTTCCCCACGGAATCACTGATGACATTCATCGCAGCGAAAACTAACAGGTTCTGCAAGGAAGTAATTGAGAAGGCACCTGCCACTACAATCTTTCGATGGACAGAGACAGATTTTGACAAACTATTTTTTGCTGTCTGTCTGCTAATGCTAAGAACAAGCAAACTAAAAAAAAAAAAAAAATGAGTACTGTTGTAAAGACTGTTTGCTAAAAACTCCTGTGTTTAGTGAAATAATATAATGTCGGGGAACAGATTTTTACTATTGTTGAGAATGTTACATTTCTCAGACAACAGTGCTAATGCAGGCGGTGATGGACTACAAAATTAGACACATTACTGATAGTCTGCGCACATCGTTTCAGGGTGCATTTTCACCAAATCAGGATGTGGTTTTCGATGACACTACTTCTTTACAAAGGAATATTATCTTTCAAACAGTACTTAGAGTCAAGTGATAGTCTAGTGTAGTTGTTATCGCATCCGCCTTATAATCAAAGGTCGTGGGTTCAACCCCCACCCTTGGTTTTTTTTTTGGGGGGGGGGGGGGTGGGGGGGGGGGTTTTTTTTATAATTATTATTCTAAATTTTCCTTTCAGTTCTTGCCACTTTTCAGCAACGGATGACTCAGTGATTATTATTATTTTTTTTTTTTTTTATGTAATAACATGGTGACTACAATTAACTGTGATTAAAGTGGTAGGATTGTCAATAAAATTTTGGTATAGGGACTGGGAACAGTCCTTCCCATTATTCCCCCACTCCCCAGGGGGGTGGGAGCTTCGTTAGTCAAGTTTGTGGGGCACCATCGTGTTCTGACTTGTCACCACTCAGGCCAACCACACACCTCCCTTTTGTAACAATTTTGAGGTGTACAAAATATAGTCCTCACCGCCTACGCATTTTTTGCGTTTGGACAATAGAAAAATATTGTGCACAGCAGAGACTTTTTTCCCCCCATATTGCTCAGCACAGGGCACACAGCTACGCCCGGGAAGGTAGCAGCGAAAGGGTTAAGACATCCAAGCATAACTACGAGTGCAAAGAGACAGATTATTGATAGCATATTCATTCCAACATTAAGCTACCAGTGCCAAACATGGACACTATCTAAAGCCCACATAGGCAAAATCACCACCTGTGAGATGAGGTGCCTGAGAAAAGCAGCTTACCTAACCATCCGAGATCGAGTGTATAATGAAACTATCAGGCAAATTGTGGGAACGACACCTTGTACTAGATTCATCGAGAAACAGCAGATCAAGTGGTTTGGCCATCTTGTTAGAATGCCGCAAGATCAAATACCATCACAAGCACTACATCTCAGAAGATCAGCTACAAGAGCAAGAGGACGGCCACAGGAAACCATGGATCGACAACATTAAAGACACTCTACGCTTTCACAGCATGACAATAGCCAGTGGCAGCCAACATGCACTGGATCGCAAATTATTCCTCCTTACGACGCTGAAGGGGTTTAAGATGATGATGATGACAGAAACATGTTTTAAAATTATTTTAAAAGGAAAGAAACATGTGTTTTCAGATGACATGGTAATGTGTCAGCCAGGTAGAAATGTCCTAGTAAAGGTATAATGAGGGAAACCAATAATACCCTAGATTTATCAGATTCATAAGTGCAGAAACTGAAATGAGCAAAAGACTTGTTACATATTGTAACAAGTAGTGCATTGTGTCTTTGAGCAGGATGGAAAGACTGCATCAACAGGAATAAGCTTAATAACAAACTGAAGCATGACTAACAGCCCTCATATTAACATGGTCAAACAAACTTGGATTAGAAAGACCATTCCAATGAAACTAACAGAATTAAGCCTACTGACATGCAACATAATTATCTATTTTAGCATCCAATAATCCATGAAAGTATTTAAAACTGCATGAGAACAGAGATAAGACTTTTGTATACATACTTCCTAACATAGCCAATGTTATGTCTGATTTGTGTTCAATTTAAACGTATAAAAAGAAGCAAAAATCTGTACACTCTAAAAAAAATGTCAATCAGTGTATGTGATTCAAAAGCCACAACAGTTAACTTATTAAAGATCTGTTGTTTACAACTGACAGCTAGGGAAAATGTACACTTACCTGGACTTGGTCGAGTTTGTCCTTGATTGCTAATTTATCTCCACTTGTATCACTGACAACAGCAACTTTTTCCTTCATTTGTGTCAACCATGACTGGCATTGGTGAAATGCCTGCACATACATCTGATGATCAAGTACAATCTGTTCCCATCTGTGACATAAATCCTGGAAAGAAGGAAAGCAAAAAAAAATCTATAGGCTAAGAATATAGTCAGCTTACACATAATTATTGATGTACTACCTGATGGTTGTTCATTTAGCTTTCATTATGAAACATGTGCACTACATACTGATATCTCCATAAATTGTCTCCATTCACAGATCACACAAAACAAATCTCAGTAAGGTGCACAAATCATGCCACATTATCAAAGATCCAAATGTGCGTATACAATAATCTTAAACATCTGACCACGCGACAACATATTACATAGGATTACCTTGTATTTTCTAGAATGTTCAAGAAGAGAGTTAATGGAACAACCTTCACATACCAATGCAAGAAACTATGCATAAATTTTAAACGATAAGGTCAGTACTGATCACATCATATTACTGCATGTTAAAACATTCACAACAAATAAAGGTAAAAGAGAAACCGCACAGCCAGCGATATAATTTGCGCATATATGTATATGGGAAACTAGCTTCAGGTGACCTTGGGACCAAAAAGAAAATCTACAAACATAGAAAATACAACATATTTTTGTCTGGTTCATCAAAAGTCTAATGCCATAATTCATTTGGTAATCTTACAGATAACTCTAGATAAGAATTATTATTGACATTTTTAATTTCTCAATTATATGCCCATATTTTGTCAGTCAGGTAATTCTACCTAATGTGTGTTATTTCTTGAGAAATTCAGTCAATTTACAGGCTGCTTATACAAGTAATGTATGACCAGTCTTATCTGTTTCTACATGCTGACCGTTCTACATGCTCATTGTCACAACCCTGTGATTACAGTCAGTGGCGGAATGTACCACACTGTAAGAAGTGCGTGTTGAGGGGACACCCCAGTGTTGACACAAAGGTCAGGGCCGTGACTGGGCAAGTCCGTTCTGTGATTGCACAGCGAAACCAGCGCTCAGGATAAAGCAAGAAAGAGTGAACCGTGTTGTTGACAAATCCGCAACACGAGTACGGCTTTTGGGACTGAGCTGGTGAACGGGGTCAAGAGACACGAGGGAGAGAGAACAGGGCATTTGGTGTGCGTCGGTCAGGAAGAGAGGACGTTTAGGAAGACAGTTATAGTATTAGAGTTAGGATATTTTCTGTTAGTGACTGGATAGTTTATGTACAGTTTTGTGTTAGGATAGGATAGTTCTTGTGTAGAGTATTTATGTATATGTGCTGTGAGAGAGTGGCTAACCTTGACACTCTGACCCTGCACTAAGACAGAGACTGTGACAGTTTGACTGGGTCAGTGTGGCGATAGAAAAGAACGTATCTCGCCGGGCTGTGGTTTGTACACCAGGAGATTGCCTGTAGCACGTACTGGGGACGAGGCGATTGTAAAGCCCGTTCAGCCAGAGGGTCCAGGCAATAGGTGGCCACACAGCGGGAAGTCAACTGTCTATGTATTACCTGTACTTCCAATAAAGATTGTTGTGTGTGCTCTGTGTGCGTTCGGGTTCAGTGTGTGTTAAAGGTTGGTCTGTCTGTCATAGGCCCATTTACGAGCCACGGACCAGCAAGGTCACCCAGAGGTCTGTGACACTCATTGTTCTACTAAATACACATTAACATTTTGATAATTGTGGAATGAGCTGAAAACAAAGCACTTCATTCATACTGTGCAAACTCTCTTTTCAAGACACCTGATTTGATTACCTTGATGTTCATGGAAGAAGCCTGATATTTAGCCATGAGTTGAGATGTCTGGCTAGTAACATACGAATCTGAGCTCATCTGAATAAGATCATGGGTTGCATCACTCAGAGAGTCCAGATCACTTTGGTGGTTTATTACTTCAGTTTGCAGTATCTGAGAAATATTGATACAGTATATAATTGCCATCATTAATCCATTGTCAGGAGAACAAAATTCATCATCCTCATAAAGCAGGTCCTTCGCAAAACATTGCTCTCATCACAGCCTGCCTGAAAGAAACCTGGTCTCTCACCAACTGTCTGACCTCAAGCACTTTCCTACCTAGAAACAAAATTAACAGCTCATATAATTTACATATAAATATGGGGGGGGGGGGGGGGGGGGGGGGGGGGGGGGGTGATGAGGGTTGTCATAAATTTTATGAATTTCTACCACTAACTTACAATATAATATACAATGCGGCTGAACATTTCAAGTTTCAACTGTCCAAACCAACATGTACATCTCACTTTACTTTACCACCGTGTGGGTTCCGGGGCCCCATTATGGGGAAAACAAGAATAGACTCACTGCCTCCCCAAAAGCATGTCGTAAGAGTCGACTAATTTGGGAGCTTCCTTTGAAGTTGGAGTGCATCTGCAGGAGAGGCAAGGAACCAACAGTCTGTATTCAAGAGAATGAGATCTGTAAAACTGATGCACACGCAACAATCAGGTTCTGGAGCAGGACTGCAGTTCACTAGTGGACGAGCAGCCAGAACTTTCCGCCAGAGTGTACAGCTGGTGAAGGCGAAGAAGAAGAAGAAGACTTTACTTTACATCAGCTTTTGAAGTGGTAGTTACCTTCAGTTTCACAATATGTGCCTGTTTTTCTGGAAGTGTTGCCCTCATGTCAGTATCCCTTAGACAGGATTCCACATCCTTTAGCCAGGATGCACAATGGTCATAGCAGACTTCAAAGCTTTTCCTAAGTTTCATGCAAGTTTCTAGGTCATCTTTTCTCTGTAAGATATTGGAATATAACAAAACAAAAATAAAACCAAAAAAGTGATGAACACTATAATATACAGGAACTGTAGTAAATATAATTGATCTTTTGTGTAATAATAACTATGTAATTCAACATTGAACATTCCGTGTACAATATCAAAATGATTGCACAAAACTCAGTATAGGGTAGGTGTGGGCAAAGACCTGCATGGTGGGAAAACATGAATGCATGTCTTTACCCCATAAATGCGTGTCTTTAATCCATAAATGTGTGTCTTTACCCGATGAATGCATGTCTTTACCCCATGAATGTGTGTTTTTACCCCATGAATGTGTGTCCTTAACCCATGAATGCATGTTTTTACCCCATGAATGTGTGTCCTTACCCCATGAATGCATGTCTTTACTCCATAAATGTGCGTCTTTACCCCATAAATGTGCGTCTTTACCTTATGAATGCGAGTTTTCTTCTAATCAACCGCAGCTGTTTACAATATGATCCTGTTATTTATTTCCAGTAATTACAAAAGGAAGACGAGCCAGAAACCACTCACTGAATCCTTACTGAATGAAGCCAAGGCTCTAATAGACATGTGTGCTTTTATTAGACAAGCTGCTAATGTGATCGGCTTCCATAAGTCAACACTTCAGAACAGATTAAAGAAACTGGCCTTGGAGAGAAAAAGCTGGGGTGATTCCAGACTGTCTTTTCTAATGAACATGAAAAACAATTAGTGAAATTTTGTAAAGCAATTATTTGGATTAACCCTCAAGTCTCTCTGGTTTCTATTGTGTTCCTGTGCAGACAAAAATAGCATACCTCATCCCTTTCCCACTGCAACAAAGCTGGCTAGAAAGGATTTCACATGTTATTTCAAAAAAAAAAAAAAAAGCTGTCACTGCAAACACCATGAAAGACGAGCATTGCAAGGACAATGGGCTTTAATCAACTGCAACTGATAACCTTGATAACCCACGAGTAATGGTAATGGTAATGTTTGTATCAGCTTCACAGCAAATAGGTCACCCCATAATTGCTCAGCTCTTCTGCCAACGAAAAACACACAGAATGTTTATCACAGTCCCTTGTTGACAGATTGACGGACTGCTGTCTCAGCATATGCACTAGCATACATACGCAATAAAAGCATACGGTAGCCATCAGAAGTGCTAACACAAACAGTCTGACATTAGAAATGCAGTTCATCATCGACGGTAGTAGATGTAACCAACAAATCAGCAGCTGCACACGCGATCAATTTTAATCACAAAAGGGCACCACCAATATTGCGACGACAGATTTCTCACCATTTTCTGAATCTACAATTCACTACACCACAATAGTCACAGTCGAAAAACATTCCAAATGAAATCCGCAGCTCACAGGGGCGCACCATGCACTCAACTCAGTAGCTGGGCAACAAAACTATATTCTTTCAGTCTACAAATGGAGCAAAAATGCAACAGCCACCGTCTAGCAGAAGCAAAAACTTTGCCACAACTCAAATCAATGACCATACAATATAGATGAAACAGGGATTCAGACTGCTCCAGGCAAGGTACCCAAGCAGGCAGTTCCCACTGGGAAAAAAGAGGTTGCTAAATCTGTCACTGCTGAGCAGGGTAAAACTGACTGTAGTCTGCGCAATTAGTGCAATGGTATCTTCTACAAGTGAACCCCTCTAATTCAAAGGTTTTCAGAAACAAGTGAAGAGTCCTATTTTGAAAATGGAGACATTATTTTGAAACTCTCGAAGCCAATTGACCAACTGACTAGCTTTGCAAATGACTTCAGTGGTTTTTCAATTTCTTGAATGATTTTACAATTATTTTTCCGGTTTACTGTTAAAATTGTACTAATGAGGCAAAGGACCGCAGTTGCAAAGTATAGATGCCAGAAAATGCAATTATTTTGATAAATAATAACAACACAGACTCACTAGCCACATACATGGTGGGTAAGTAGCTAAACTGTATCCACATAAAGGTTCATATAAAACATACGAATGGTTTTCCAGCAATGTGTAAAAACAACAAAAACAAAAAACATCAAACTGCGGGTCTTTGTTACCACCTACTCTAATGGAAAAATCAGTTGTCAGCCCTGTATCACAGCCCTGTGTCACAGCCCTGTGTCATTTGTTATTGGCCAGAGGAAGAAAGTGATGATCAAACAGAATGAAACACAAATAGTGATACTTATCCGGCTGTCATTCTTTAGGTGCACTCTGTCAATCTACATCTGGGTCATTTCTGATAAATGTGTAAATATGATTGCCGCTGATTATTCTCTTAATAGTTTACTTGACAGGAAGTGTCTAACAGACATTTATCTTGGTGTCTTTTTGCATGTATATACATTTATGCCATTCACATAGTGTATGCACACATTAACATTTCTACATTCTTCTGCTTTCTTTCATCTTTCAGTTTGTTGACACACATTACACTCTGGATTTTACAGATGAAGTAGCCAGTTTCATGCCAACTGTCCTGTCATCTCTTCATGCATGGTAGGTTAAGATAATATTTGTTGCTGCCTGAAGGGGTCTCTGTAGTACACAGATGAATTCAAACAAACTTTCTCAAAATCCCACATGCAATGGCTATTCAATTAATTTTAGTGCTTTGCACTTACTTGAGCCTGGCCTCATGCTGGTCTGATATGCAGCCTAGCGCATGACCTACTACTACATGCAACAGTCTCTATCTCCTTCTTCTTCTGGTCAGCAGGTATTTCTGTACACCTATGGACCCACCCACCCTAAGAAAGGGTCTGTGTAAATACAGTTTAATGACACCGCTATTATTCCTACCACAAACTGCTTAGCAATCACACAACCGAGCAAAACAAGTTAACAATAATCTCATTAACAAGACTAACCTTTGTGAGGGCCAGATTAAATGCTTGCCAGTCAGCATCAAGTACATCCCTGTCTCTCAGAATCACTTGTTTCCCTTTTGCAGCTGTATGAGACAATACTTGTTCTGACAGTTCCATCACCTCTTTGATCCTGGGTTCATCTTCTGCTTTAGCAGCTAGAATGCTCTATTCATAAAATGTTTAAATGACAAGAAAATCATATAATGATGGAAAGACTAACTACTTTAGTGTAAACTCTACACAATGTAATTAAACTGTAAAATTACTGCATTTATGAATACCAACAGATTAGTATTTTAGTTGTTACTAGTTATAAATCTAAATATACTTTTTTTTTTTGGTCAGTGAAACCCACAAGTATTTTATCTCAACACTTGATCAAAGGTGCAGGATTACAGAAGATCAGATAAAGGCAGAACTTAAGAAAATGGCTGGCATAGAAACATATGAAAAATGCAAATAATTGGAACCAAAATAAAGTTCCATGGTATTTTAGTGAAATTAAGGACAGTTCCCAGATGTGGGAACATTGTTTTGAAATACAAAGTGTATACTTTGCTATCTCACGTGCACCTGTAAAGTCCTTGACTCCCACAGCAAACTAACACATTGGGCTTTGATGAGCATTGTAAAAAACTGATATTTTTTTTTTTTTTTTAATATGAATAAGAATGCCTGTACATAGCAATGGATATGCAATTAACATCAATATAATAGTGGGCTGTGTATATCACATAAAACAATCAGATGCTTGGAACAAACACCCATGATGTGCCAAATTATGAGGCACAAATCACTGCACCTGACAATTCCCACTTTGATCATTCTCAGAGACTCAGTTTCTACGATTAACTTCTTCGATATGAAGAAATGCAAGATGGACTACTACCTGACTGGAATGTGATATGTTAGTGTTTTTAATTTACCTGTGGGTAGTGTCAAAACACAAATCTGCAACTCTGAATGGCATTTTCGGTTCTTTGAGTTTCTACAACACACACGTTGTGCATTTTTCCCTTTTCAATAGCAGTTAAAAGCATAATTTATGGTATTTTTGTGTACTTTATCGAGTTGCAAAGTGTTTCTCTGAAAACAATATGACTGACAATTGGTCTTCTTAATGCCTATGAATGTGATTTTCAGCTTAAGAGGCTTCAGATGTAAATAAAACAATGTGCTTTCCAGAATTGTGTGAAGTAGGATGAAAAAAATTGTCATTTGTAGAGTCAATCTTTGATGAGTGGATGATCTATATATAATGCACCTCATGCAATGATGACAAAGTCAGCTGGCACAAGAAAAATAAATATTAGTGTTTAGGCATTTTCTGTGACATCAGTGACTTGTAGTTGTGTTTAAATTTTACAGATATTATTGGTTTATCTTTATGTGATTTGTTCTGGATATAAATTGATCAACTTTCCCCTGAGCGCAGGGAAGCTAACTGGAAGAAAACATTACTTTGCTTTTGTAATGTGCTACATTTGTGGAATGTCTAGATTTCATTACCACCCATTGATCCTTTGATGCTAAGCACTCTGATACAGAAAGCAATAAGTCAACTATACTAATGTTTAGGCTGCTCAATTAAAAAAAAATGTTCTTTCTGCTGGTATCAAAATGTCATCTTCACACTAATTTTATCTAGCATAAGAAACTGCCATCTAATCAAGTGATGGTGCAGCATATCAAAAACTGATTAGCTGAGATTAGGCCTACACTGGTAATGATTATGCCCAAAGTTTCAGGTATTTCGCTGTTGACTCCAACCCAACTGACCAACAGGAGAAATGACCTGTTCTTAACAATTAAAACTGTATTGTTTATGTCTAAGGGATCTCATGGTTGAGTTGTAAAGCTGTCAGCTTCATGTTATGAAGATCATGGGTTAGTCCATGCATCTGAATTGTTTGATTCAAAAGTGCAGTTTTTATGGAGATTCCTAGGGACCATTGCTGGAGTTACAGAGTTTGTGTTTTGTGATATGCTTTCAGGAGGCAAATATCTGTTCTGTGAAGAGAGGTCAAGCCATTCAGGACAAAACTTGGTACAATGAAGTTAATCCTTTTGACTTTAAACAGTTTGTTTTACGCACTGTGAGACTCAGCAGAGATAATGTTATTGGAAGTAATTTAATTAAACAAACATCTGGCCATAGTCTTCATTACAAGATCCTATCAAGCACACTACTGTGAAAGCTCAAAAAGTTCTTACAGCAATAAGATTATTGGCAGTCACAAACAATGAACAATGTTTGCTTATTCTTCTGAAGCAAGCACTAGTCCTCTCAATCTTGAAATACATTCTGGCTATCCTTACTACCAGCAGCAATACAACATAAAACTATGTGCATCATTCTTAGGGACACTACATCATTTTCTTGGTGACTTCTCTACCATAGAGCCTAGCATAAGGATAATTTAGGCATGTGCATATTTTAAGAAGGGCCACCCAACTGCAGGAAGCTCTCTATAGAAATGAAGAAGACATGGCTAGGATAAAGATAGATCTGATAAGGAGCCCAAGTCTCTCATTAGCAGCAACTGTGATGATAATATTGCAGTAATATAGACAGGTACACTGAATCACTCTCACCTGAATTTGATCAAGTTGGTTCTGGATTGCACTGCGGTCTCCTGAAATGTGGGAGATGACAGACAGCTTCTCTTGGAGACTATGGACCCAGTCAGTGCAGGAATTGTAGAGGTCAGTCAGCTGCTGGTGTTCTTTCACAAAACATTCATACTGGTACACATGTTCCTGCAGTTACAATCATGTAGAAACATAGTTGACAAATAATGCACATGTAATGAAATATGTAAAAAATTCAAGTGAAAATAAGTAGCTGATGAAAGTTACTGTTAAAAAACTCTAATTATCAATGGCAGGCACAAAACTTGATTCATCACAAAAATTATGATTATCTGTAACTGTTTTCTACTGACAGTTTGGAACTACCAACCTTGGCAACAACACACAGTTCAGAGTATGATGAGTCTGTTTTGGAAACAAACTTGGCAAATACTGGGTCTCTGTTTGTTTGTATCAGCATGCTGGCCTTGTCAGTGATGTTCTGGATAACTCTCTGGTAAGACAGCACATCCTGCTGAAGAGCCTGATTCATAAAAACAAAATTGTTACACACAGCCTTCTCATTCTTTTTGTACATTATCCTATTTCCCCAAGTATTTTGTGTGAAACTGTTGCACCTTGACATAATTTTTTTAAGAGGTTTAAACAAATAAAAATTACTTTGCGATAAATCAGGGATATAAGACTGGATGTTGCAGAATTTCTTACTTCCTTTATGTTAACATCGATTGCACAGTCTTTGCAACACATTGACAAGCACTATCATGCAACAAAATCATACTACGAGAAAGCATGCAAAGAAGTTTGTTCTTAATAGCTTTACACAGCTTGTCTCGGGTTTCAAAGTAGTTAACAGAAGACAATACAAAACTCTTTTACAGTATGAGAAATTAAAAAGACTTCAAAGTCACCCACTGCATTTTAAATTTCAAGAGAGAACAAAAGACAGACTGAAACGTCAGAGCCCCAACCACCTTACTAGAGAACTGTACAGACACCACCAAGATCTGCTTAAAAGAGATGTTGCACTGTGCGAAAAACTTAGGCCGGAACCATGGACAAGCAAGCCAGAGAAGGCAAATGTAGTCCTAAAGGTACCAGGGATCACTTTAAAAGATGCCCAGATGGAGACACAACAGAGAACCCTAGCTCTTGCTATGCTTGATGAGAAGTATCCCAACACCACTTGGACTCAGGCCTTCACCGACGGCTTTGCTACAGATGCAGTAAGAAAGGGGAGCCTGTGGAATATACATTAAACCTCCTTGCAGTAGAGCAGAAACTATCTCTCTACTAGCAGGTGACATCTGCACTAACTGTCCTCCTTTCTGCAGTCCGACATCTCATCACTCAAGAACACAGAGGGCACAAAATTGTTATACTTAGTGACTCACTATGTGTTCTCCAAGCACTATCAAGCAAAAAACAAGACAAACTAATTGCAGATCTAAGGACCAACATTGGCCTACTCTCCAAGGAAGCAGAACTGGTCTTGCAGTGGATACCAGCCCACTGTGGTATTTAAGGAAATGAGAGAGCAGATGAGTTGGCAAAAGCTGGGAGTAATCTTCCACAACCTCATCCACCACACAGCTACAAGGAAACCAAAACAGCACTAAAGCAGTCTTTCAAGTGGGAGTGGAGAAGGCAGAATGGAGATTACAGACCAGAGAGTGACAGCATAAACAAACTCAACACGAAAGAACAAACACCAATTTTTAGACTTCGGACTGGACACTGTGGTCTTCGAGCACACCTGTACAGAATAGGCATAAAAGAATCTGCTGCCTGTGATTGTGGAGCAGAAAGACAGACCCCTGAGCAGATACTGCAGTACTGCCCTAACTTTTCCCAGCAAAGACAAGAGAAGCTATGGGGGGACCGGTGGCGACCTTAAACACACAATCCTATTTGTGACCCAGTTTAGCATGAAGAAGAAAAAGAAGAAGAAGAAGAAAGTAGTGAACAGTGTTGTTGTCGATACCATTTTCTTTGAAGTCTGCCAAAAAAGGCCTTCATTATTTTTTTGCATGTTCTCTCTTTTGCTGCTCAATTCAAAGATGACACTATGATTCATGGCCTACCACTATGTGGAAGAGAAATGCATCATCTTCTGCTCTGTAATGCAAAAAGTGGTTCAAACACCATTCCATGCATTCCTCTTGCTGGTGGTCAGTCAACATCCGGTAACCTTAATTTACAAATAAAGGTGTTTTAAAGATCCCTGTGGGGGTCATCCCTGGAGTTTGAAGAGTACTCTGCTTTGTGTGGTGCTCTGCGGGGAGAGGTGGAATAATATGAGCTACATCATTATCAAGTGCCTTGCTGACTGGCAAGGGCAATCATGCCTCTTTACAATCTGCGATCCGCAACTGTGTGTATCAGTTCAGGTGTTGACACCCCTCCATGTCATGACAAAAGGCTGTCAAGAATCTTCTCACGCTGTCTTTCTCTGTCTCTCTTTTCACAAATCTTTCCAGTGGTCACAGCATGTTCCATTTTTCCCTCTTCTCATAACATGACCAAAAAATGATGACTGTCTCTTTCTGATGTTTGAGATAAGCTGTCTTCAAGCATTCACCTTTTTCAAAACATCTGGGTTGCTCTTCTTAGCTGTCAAAGGAATTATAAGAAATCTTCTGTAAAACCACATCTCCACGGCCTCAAGATATTGTTCGGCTTGTTTATTAATTGTCCAGGATTCACAGCCGTATGTTAAAACTGGATCTATATAGCATGTGATAATTCCTTTCCTAACCTCCAATGACATGGGTTTATTGCATAAAATGTTCTTCATTTAATAAAATGCAGTTTTGGCCTGTCCTATTATGTTCTTTATCTCTGTGATAGATCTTCCATCGGATGTTATCCATGAGCTTAGAAACTTACATTTTTGTACTTGTCTTTGAAATGACACCTTAGACTTTTATGCTACATTTAGGTTCTATTGTTTCTTGTAAATAACCATTACGTCTCTGTTCCCATTAGTCAAACTGAGGCGCATTTTATCACTTTCTACCACCACTATATCTATCAATTCCTGTAGTTCTCTCTGACTTGCTATCACGACGGTGTCATCAGCATAACGCAGGATATTTCTTTATGACCACCAACCACAATTCCTGGCATATCCATGACAGATCTCATTATATAGTTACTGTATAATGAAAGCAAATCAGGTGATAGTACACATCCTTGTCGTACTCCCCTCTTTATGCTCTGAAATTTTCCCAAATGGTTACTAATTCTTATAGCTGCTGTTTGCTGCCAATTGACTGAGTATTGGCACTTTTCCGTCTTTCCAGACGATAGTGTTATATTGCACTATGAGGAGGCAGGAGACACAGCTAATGGCAACGGTGAGTGTGGCTAGCAAGACCCGCGGATGTTAAGAAAAGTCTTCCACAATGATAGCATGGGATTTCAGGACCTTTGTTGTCAACATTTATGTTTAATTCATTTCTTCTCAGATGCTCAGCTCTCACCCTTTCTACAATCATTTCTTCCTTCACTCTCATTCCCTTCCTGATATGCCCTCTCCACAAAACATGGTCCATGGCATTGTGTTCCCATCAGTCGACCTCAATACCTGTATTATTCATGTCCCACCTGCACACATCTTTATACTGTAGCAGAGGTCGGTCTCGATATATTCTACCCATCTTTAGTTTTCCCTATATGATGTTTGCTGCCAGTACATGTTCTTTATAATTCGTAAACCTTTTCCATCAATGTCTGACTTTGCCAATAGTTTAATTAGTTCTTTATGTTTCACACAATCAAATGCTTTCATACAATCAATGAAGCATAAGTAAATACTGTCTTTTTTTTTTTTTTTTTTAACTTATATAGATCTTTCTAAATGAGTTTTGAGGATGTATATGGTATTGTTTTTACCTTTTCCTTCTACAAATCCACACTGTTCTTCACTAATTTCTGGTTTAATCTTATTTCTTATTCTTTTCATAATTATTCTCAGTTACAGTTTTGTGACGACTCATAAGACTTACTGTGCAAAAGTCTTTACATTTTAAAGTGCTTGGTATATTTAGCAGAGCAGTAAGTATAGGTTTTAATAGGTCATTAGGAATATACCCACTACTTAAATGTCACTTAACAATTTTATTAATATTTCAATTCCAAAAATATTCCAAATCAGTGGAAAAAAATTTGGGGAAGCTGCGGAGATGTGGTTTTATAGAAGAACGATGAGAATACCCTGGACAGATAAAAAAAAGTAATGAAGATGTCATGAAATAAATTGATACACAAAGAGAACTGATTGCCCACATCAGAAAGAAACAATCTACATTCTTTGGTCATATGTTGAGAAGGAGAAAATTGGCGCACATCGTGACAGTAGGAAAGTTGGAGGGGAGGAGAGGCAGTGGGAAACTGAGAGAAAAGATGCTGGACAGTTTGCTTGACATCATGGCATGGAGGATCATCTGTGTCAGAGCTGATGGACAGAACACGAGACAGAAGGTAGTGGATAGATATGATTACCAATACCACACGGCATGGACTTTAAGAAGAAGATTGGTTGTAGCTATATGGAAATTAGGTTGATCTCAGTGCTACCCAGATTGAAAGACTCGAAAAGGTGCAAAATGAAGCCATGCGCATTATTTTGGGATGTACAAGAGACACATCCTGTGAAGCAATGAGGTATCTACTTGACTTTCCAACAATGAACCAAAGGATCAGAATGTGGAGGGCTCGGGCATACCTCAAAATATGTGCTGATAAGAAACACCCACTGCATCAAGCGCTTTTTAGTGAAAAGGGCGACAGACTGAAGAGGGGAAAATCGTGGCTAGGTCGGGCAGAAGATGTTATTAGGCAAATATGCAGCCTAACCGACATCATACCTGGTGCAGAATGGATACCTGTGCCTCAGGCGTTTATTTGCACATTTTCCTGTATTGTCACACTCAACAGGCGATGTAGAGAAGAGAATCCTGTAGCTGTTAATGCAGAGGTCAACGCTCTCATCGGTGAAAATTCAGACGAAGCAGATGCACTAATCTACACAGACGGATCCGTTATACGCCAAAGAAGAAGCGCATGGGCATTTACAGCACGCTCAGCGGGCAGAACAGTCAAAGAAGCCAACGGTGCCTTCTCCATGACAACCAGCAGCATGACGATGGAGGTGATGGCAGTGACGCAAGCGTTTGCCTGGCTTGAAACACAAAAATACACCCGCATATGTATACTCAGTGATTCAATGAGTATGATCCGGAGGGTTCAGGCAGGTTCAGTGCGAAGACAATGGCTTGAATCATTACAGAAGTCCACTGTGCGAGGAGTCACCTTTATTTTTTTTCCGGGACACGCAGGCGTCGATGGAAATGAAAGAGCTGACAGGTTGGCTGGATCCGCTATCACTACCGACGGTCGGCCTATGGATCATGCTGATATTATCAATGCCCTCAGAGAAATGGGAAGGATAGAGGACTTTGGTGGCAGTGAATCCACATCACTCGCCAGAATGGCAGACTTGGGAATTAAGATCGGCACAGCAAAAAACGAGACGCACACCGGACACGTCAGAAGACTTGTTAATCAACATAGAACGTACTATTATCCATCGGACGTTGGGGTTCATACTGAGGGGAGGATCTGAGCACCTATGGACATGTCCGGAGTGCAATGACGATAACCAAACTAACTAACTAACTAACTAACTAACTAACTAGGTTGATCTCTTACTTTCAAAGAACCTTATATTACACATATTTTTCTACTGAGGTGATCATGTGTGGTTCTTGTGAATACATGTGGAATGCGTTTTGTCTGTGCCTACAGTAATTTGAATTTCAAACCTGGAAAACAACCAAATGCCACTAAATTGACAGTACACTTTATGCAGCAATGCATGTGTAGGCTGCTGGTTTTGTCATGACTGTTGCTTCCTCTAACAGTGAATTGTCATTCAAGTAACAATGAGTTGTTCTGTGGCAGCCCTAAGCATTTGTATATTGCTGATCTTGTCAGGTTATTGTGTCTTTCACTCTCCACAGTGGACAGCAATAAGCCTTTAGTGTGGTTTTAAATAATGCAGATTTAGTGTGGTGTTTGCTGGCACAAGGAGAGGAAAATATGTAACAATCCAGTCACGAAACTGGAACCACAACTAACGACCATCAACACTGTTCTATTAGTGAACATATCTGAGCAATGCAAAAATCTCTGGGTACATAAATGTGATCTGTAAAATGTTTGTGGGTATTCTTCCAACATCTAATGATGGCCTACCTTATAAGAATGAAGCTGTGATTTTTTGTCCTCAAGGCTGGCCCGCAGTGGGATCTTATTTTCAAACTGAGACTGCATGTGTTTCAGCCAATGTTTCACCTAATAATATTATTTTGTAAAATGTTTAGCAGTTACTGAATGTAAGGATACAATATTTGTTTCACAACAGAAATATAAGACATCATGGCAGATAAAAACAACATTAATTAGTAGAAGCCAATTAGAAGGAAAACGCATATATGTATAGGTGTGTGTGTGTGTTTGTAGGATGTATATTTGTGTGGGAATTGGTCAAAAGGAACAAACACATCAGCAGTTTCCATCAGGACATTAGCATATTAGGAAGATGATGTAGAGTTGTGTAACAGTATGGCAGAATTAGGAGTACAACAACTGACAGATGAAAACACTGGGCTAGATGATGCAATAGTTATGTACATCGATGGTTCTGTTTACTGGACTAAAAGATCTGGCTGAGTGTTTTTCAGCCACAGTGAAGGGAAAGATGATTGCAGAACAAAATGTTTGGTTTTTGTTTCTTTATTTTTCTACAACTTCAAGCATGAGGATGGCGGTGGAGTCATTCACTGCAGGTCTGAAGTGGACGGTAGAGGAATTACAGTGACTTGAGAGGATACCAAGCATCAGCACATCAATATTCCGGTTAAAATGGACGCTAGACAGCGGCACTGTTCGAAGCAGAGGCAATTTTTTTGCTTCTGCCGGACGGTGGCCAAAGTATTTTTGCTCCATTTGTAGACTGGATATAGTTTCGTCGCCCAGCTTCTGAGTTGAATGCATGGTGTGACACTGTGAGCTGCGGATTGCATTTAGAATGTTTTTTCGACTGTGACCAATGTGGTGGTGTGAATTGTAGATTCAGAAAATGGCGTGATGCCTGTCGTGCAATGTTGGCGGTGCCCGTATCTGGTTAAAATTGATCGCGTGGACAACTGCTGAACAGTCGGCGACAAGTTCTGCTATCATCAATGATGAACTGCATTTCTAATGTTGGACTGTTGTGTTAGCACTTCGGATGGCTACCGTATGCTTTAATGGGAGTGTATGCTAGATATGCTGAGACAGCAGTCTGTCAATCTTTCCACAAGAAACTTCGATAAACATTCTGGGTGTTTTTCGTTGTCACAGGAGCGGAGCAAAGATGGGCCGACCCGTTGCTATGAAGCTGAAACTAAGACTTCCAGACTACCAGACTTCCAGACTACCAGACATCAATATTACAGGAACTCATGTGGATAAAAGACTGAAAAATGCAAGAGTTCAAGGGAATAACAGAGCTTTTTTTTTTTTTAACTACAAAAGCAGTAGCTGTAGGAACAATAGAACTGGACAATGAAGACATTCTGAAGACCATTTATAAAGGAATGTTGTGAGAAGAAATAAAGTTAGATGAAATAAAATATGTAAGAATGTATGAACGTGGAATCCGAAGTGGATCCAGCAAGAAAGGGCTATGAGAGGAAGAGAATGGCATGTGTATAGTCAGTGTGCTATTGGAACAATAGGCAACTTCACCTTACAACATTTGATGGAGGAGACAAAGCATCTATAAGCATGCCTAGTGTACTATTATGTTGGTTCTTAGTCAGTAATTGTGCAGAAATGCCCAAGAAAGTTAACAGCCATCATCATGAGAGTAATACTTTCAAATTGGCTGCACAGACTGGAAGCACCAACTGTGAAAGCCAGATTTATATAATATACTCTGACAACATGTGATTTAAAAGATATCCAAAGAAAGACTAAACAAGAATCATAAGTTGTCCAGGACTAAAAGATTAACATTCACCATAAAAACAGAAATCAGATCCAGTATGTTTGAAATTATGACTTAACTGATGTGTGACACATTGTGATGTAAACTTTCTCTGTTGTATTCTTTCCATCTTGTGCTTGGTCCGTCTGCATCTTTCTCTATATCCCTCTCCTGATGTATGGTATGGCATCACAAGATCTTCTCTTTAAGTGGGCTAGAAATGCATTCTTTCTTAGCTGGCAAACCATGTTATTTGCTGTCTTTGTGTGCAATTAAGAACCGGTTCTGAGCAAACGTTTCTCTTTTCACCTAATTTCTGATGGTTGTAGCCCTTCTCAGGCATCTCTTTTCCATGGTTAATAATTTCTTTTCTGTATTGTTGTGACTGACCATGTCTAGCACTGGTAGTACATGGTTGCAATGAGTATCCATTATATAAGGTTACAATGAGTATGCATTGTATGAGATGAATGATTTTATATTATTAAAATTAATATAATATTAGTATTCTAGAGACCTAGCAATGAAAATGAATTTTGCACACAGAAAAGCTCACCTGACCACAACTCTCATCAAAAGAAGTCCATTGTACCAAAGAAACTTCAAGTTCCCTCTGTGCAGTAGATAAGTCTTCAAATACAGTTTCATAGTCAAGCTTCAGTTTGTGTAGGTCCTGACGAATAGTGTCTCTGCCTTCAGAGGATGTGTTTGGGTACAATTTTTCTCCTGCCTCTACACACAGACTGAGTTTAGCAGACCCAACATCTCTTTCCTGCACAATATCCTAAAAAAAAAAACGACAACAAACTATATGTCCATATGTGTGTGTGTTGGCTGTTTGTGGATGATTCCTCTATATACAGTTTACCCCAAAACTAAAGACATATCTAATTTTAAAATTTATGATCAAACATTGCTGGTGAAAATGTGCAAATGATGAATCTGGATGCAAGTTTTCAATTTTTGTTCATAACATGGTAGTAACCATGTTTGCAGGACCACCGATAGACAGCAAAACAGTTTACTCAAATCCATACTGAAGTCATGCAGATCTACCTGGATTATGTCAAAGATGTCATGGCTTGTGGTGTCATGCATGAAGATCAGTTCAACCTATTCTTTACAAATATACAATGCACTTTCCAACTCCTGATGTAGACAGCAAACTGTGCTGATCCAGCGATGTCAACTGTCTCATTAAGAGAAACTAAAAATTATTCCAGTCTTTATGATGTAGCCTTTAACTGCTGTTTCAAATCACTTGACATTTCAACAATGTTTCTGGTTAACAAACTATCTTTCAATAAGTTGTTTTTTTTTCTTGGCCTATAATATGAGCCTTTTTTTTTTTTAGAAGGCTTTATGAAAATTCCTTCGCTGTAACAGTTCCCACTTATGGCGATCATTCCGATAAGCTCGTAGATTATAGTAACGGTAGCGACATTCTCTTTCTCAGTTTTAGTTAAACAGGTTGTTCCTTTTTCAAGTGAGTTTAAAAATCCTTGAGTTTTGAGACATACACACTGGTCAGTCATATTTATACTAGGATTGATAGTTTGTTTTGTTTCGTTTCAAGTTATACTCTTTTGGCATGGCTATTCTGGTGTTGCAAATTAAACAATGTATCTCATGGTTGTGCAAAACTAGTGTAACTCCCATTTTTCTTAAAACACCCTTCTGTGTTCAGTTCCTTTTTTCTCTTAACTGGAGGAGCACTAGCTATTTTAAACATAATGTGGAATCTGAACAATTTGAAGAAGAAAAAATTAGAAATACAATCTATTTAAAAAACACTATCAAAGTTTTATCCAACTTATGAATCCTTTGTGTGGATTGTAGGTATGATTTCAAAGGCCTGCCTGTGAATTGCAACGCCTGCTCTAAACAGTTTACTGCAAACAGCCTTGGCATTCAGACACTGCATGGTCAGCACAGACAGCAGACCACCCCCACGTACAATGGATGAGCGTAAAAGCAGAGGACACGAACACAACTTTGTATATAGAGCACAAAAGGTTTTATTCCATAAAACTTTTTAACCTGTTGCTGAATAAAATATCAGAGACAGAGGAAAGAAAGAAAAAATTTAATAAGAAACAAACCTGTTAACTCTTTGAGGCCCGAGCAACACTGTGTGTGTTGACTGGGAAGTTCCAATTTGCCCAAACAACACTGTCTGCGTTGACCATGTGTCCTGTACATACTGAATCGCCTACAGCTCTGTATTTATTTCTAATGTCGGAACTAGCAATAAAGTATTAGGGAGGGTTACTCTAAAGTTTTTCTTTGTAAACAGGTCTATGGCGCAAACTCATCCGATTCGTTGCAAGCCTGATTTTTAGGACACCCCCCCCCCCCCCCCCCCCCCCAGGTATTTTTGTGAAGAGCCAATTCTGTAAAAATTCATGGGCCTGAAAAGGGTTAGTTGAGTTCAGTCTGAATCAAATAAATGTTAAGGGGAAAAAAGGAGGTCACTATTTTAACCCTTTCACGGCAACGCAGTCCACCAACGAACATTATACTGTGCTAAGCAGGTTCCCAGTTGAACTTTTTCTCTGTGCTGAATACTTTTCTATCCTCCAAATGCAAAAATTAGGTTGGCAGTGAGGGCTCTTTTTCATAAATTTTAAATATTTACCCGAGATAAATGTGTGATGGCCAGAGGGCTGACAAATCAGACGCATTATGGCGATGCCAAAAACACATTTACAGAAAGGAAACACTAATAACCAGACTTATTTGCCCGGCTTCCTTCAGGATAGTGAAAGAAAATGTTTTCTCTGCAAAGTCTACCTTTGTCTCCACCGTTATCACATATGTAGTTGAAACTCCATGGCCAAGGGAACACAACAATAGCCTTCGATTGTCAGCAGGAACATTCTTTGAATGTTTCACCCCACTTTACATTCCTTGTAGGTGGATATTGTAAGACAATTTTTATTCTCCCTGCTTCTACTTCATCGTCATCTCAACCATTACCATGTTTTTAGTCACTGCCCTGAGTGCATCCGTCATTCTTACTGTCCCCTGGCCCGTTCCACCACCCCACAGACTTGACCGACAAATCTATGGCTACATTTCTATGGTAACAAAGCAAAAGGATAATGTTGAATGCATCTAAATTCACCTAAACCTAAACACATGTGATAAGGGTTTTAATTGTATGTAAATGGGTCAATCTGATCATATTTAGGTAATGTGTATAACCATTTCACCCCTGAGAATTTTGCTTCTTAGCAATCTGTAAGAAAAGTCAAAGACATATTATACGTCCTTAGCAGTGAGGGCACAGAAAACGGAAGACATATTAATACGTCTATAGCAGTCTACCGGGCAGACCTATATAAATATACATCCATAGCAGCAAAAGGGTTAACATCAAATATCTGCGCACAATTCAAAGAATTGATAATACACCAAATGATTAGTCTGTATTACAGACATCCCCTCCCCCCCCCCCCCCCCCCCCCCCACAGTATTTTATCTGAGTGATTACAAAAACAAAAAGATACATTTACAAAAGCAGGTAAATACCTGTATTCTCTCCAGTTTATTTTCTAATTCAGCTCTGGAGTTACCAACTTGTGAACATTCAGAGAACTTCTTTCTGGTTTTCACCAGCCACTGGGTGCTCTCTGCAAACCTGGTGTTGTACAGTTTATGATCTTCCACATTTTGCTCACTCTGCTTGGCAAGTTCCTGTAGGGACATAGCAGATACAAATATTTACTGTTACACAAAAAGGTATGCACTTGTGAGAAGGTCAAGTGTGTGTGTGTGTGGGAACGTCAAGAGATTTAACTGGTGACATGAGTGATAAAGATTCAACTGGCTAGGCAGCAATGTTGATTTCTCTCAGAGTCACTCAAGTTTAGAGATTGTGTGTATACTTGTGTGTATTTTCCTACCAGAGTTGAGTTGATTCAAGAACCAACATAACATAATTCTGGGCATTTCAATAAGCACTCCATCCCCATCTTAAGCAGCTAGTGAAGAATTCCAATACTAATGGTGCCAGTAGCATTCTGACTTAACATCTGTCTCGCCTTTCCTCTGAGCCTTAAGCATCTGTCAGAACCTCTCGTCACCCCCTCCCCTTTATTTCCTTTGTATCAATCTCACCAGACTGTGGTGATCCATCTGCTTCTCCGAACTGTACATGCTCTCCCACAAGATACTAACCATGTCTGCCTTACCATGCATCAGTATTTAATCAAGTTGTGCAGAACCAGCCAGTCTCTTAAGGTTACCTTGGTGAAACAGACAGTGTAGAATGTACTCAAATTTGTGTTTCAGTTTCTAGGATTCAGCTGTTTGCTTCATTTTAATCACTTGTTACTGAAGTATGCACCTGACGAGATAAAGTGAAATATGCCAGGCAATAAATTGTGCAGTCTATTGTTTGTGTCTTCTTTGTTCAAATTCACATCGGGGAAACATTGCTTTGAATATAAAGTATTAGCAATAATTTCTCAACATCACCAACCCAGTGCTGACTGGTCTATAAAACATAGGTCTAGCACTATGTATCCAATAATGCAGGAAAAAGGGTCCTTATATTAATTTCTCCATTCTGTGTAAATGTTCGGCTGTTAGCAAAATGTCATCCAAGCATGAAATACACTGGCTGCCATGGATACTCACTGACAGGTTCTGTTAACGTTATTCTCTAAAGAAACAAAACCTAATTAAGATCAACTCACTTTTGCTGCAGTCAGCAAGGCCTGATATCTTATAGTGAGCTGTGAGACAGCACTGCTAACCTGAGGTTCTGAAGTGAGATGAAGTAAGGTGTGTGATTTCTCTGTAAATGTGTCAAACTCTCTCTGATGACACTGAATCTCCTGCAGAAGCTCCTAGAGAAAAGAGTGAGCAGCCTTTATACAAAAGCACAAAGTGATATAGAAACAGATATGCATATTTAAGATTCCTCAATCATTAATTTAAACAATAAAGTGTGTGTGTGTCTATCTGAGAGAGGGAGGGAAGTGAGAGAAAGATAGAGAGAGACAGGAGGGGGGGAGGGGGGGGGGGATTTGAAAAAACAAAAATTACAAAAAACAGGAACATTAAAATTACAGAGAGAAAAAAATGGAAGTGATCTATTCTTTTAAGCTTTTAAATGGCAAGATCTCAATGAAAAATTGTATCCTTTAAAAGTACAACCGTTTGCTAGCATTTAAAGAAACTACACATAATATATGTGGCAAATATATTATCTGTATCTGTTTAAAACTAACCACATAAACAGATCAAATGTTATTGCATAACATGATAAGTGAAATATTAAACGTCTCACTGTGTATTTTGAAAGTTGTCCCTGTTTTTCTTGAAGTGTTGATTTCAGTGGACACTTCTTGATTTCTTTTTCCATTGACTGGAGCCAGTTGGACAGCAGCTGACAGCTGGATTCAAACGCAGCCCAGTGCTGTAGAGCTTGTTCTAGACCGTCTTTGAGAGAATTCATTTTCGCTAAGCAGTCTTCCCAGTCAGAATGAAGAACATCCAGTTGTGACTGAATGGTCACACGACCTTTCAGGCCAGAATTCTCCATTGTAAGCTCAGCAAGATGTTCACATGTTTCCAGTTTCCTGGCACCGTCTGCCACAGAGACCATTAATGCCTTCAAAGATAAAACAATAAATTAGTCCATGTTTTTAATTGGCAGATGTATTTAATTGTTTGTATACACTGTGTCTAGTATTCGGTATGAAGATCCTTCAGTTTTGGTCATTGCTATTTTCATTTTGATTTCTATTTCACTTCTGTTATTAACCATTTAAGAAATGAGAAATGTGTTATGTGTTCTAGTAACGTTTTGTTTACTTTGGGTGTTAATGCTGGTCTCTTTTTTCACTGTTGAGTATCATAGTTTTTTAAACGCATAATGGTAGAGGTGAAATACAAGTCATTAAAATAAAATAGAAATATCTTGAACCAACAATTAGACAAATTGCACCAAGTCTCTGGAGATGTGGATACAGACAAGAATAGGTCCCATTAAAAAAAAAAAAACACAATCATTGAATAAAGAGGTTTTGAAAAGACTAGGAATGAATACAGTCAAATTGTTTAGAAAGTCTGTTTAGAAAGTCAGAGATGAGGTTTTATAGACAAATGATGAGAATGCCTTGGACAAATAAAAAGAGTAATGAAGATGTCTTGAGGGAAACTGACGCATAAAGAAAACTGATTTCCCACATCAGAAGGAGACAGTCTATGTTTTTTTTTGGTTGTGCCATAAGAGGGAAAAAACTGGAGTGTGTCATAGCGACAGGAAAGTTGGAGGAGAGGTGAGGTGAAGGGAGACCAAGAAAAAGGATGCTGGAGAGTTTGTCATAACGCGTGAAAAACCATCTGTGTCAGAAGTGTTTGAAAGTACCTGAGACAGAAGGTTGTGGATACACATGACTACAGCATGGACTATAAGAAAGAAAGAGGAATGAAAACAGAAGTGCTGAAGGAAACAAACAAGAGACAACCCTTGTCTTGAAACCATTCTGGAAAGAAACATTGAAGGAAAGCAAGCAAGAGGCAGACAGCAATACAAGTGAGAAAATAAATGCCCCTAGATTTTTATAGAGACCCTCATTTGAAACCCTTATTTTTTTTTTTTTAACTGTGGTTGCTAAAGGTGTAAGATAGCAGTGCATTTTATAGCCTGGATAGTGAGTAACATGCAAAATCTTGTTTCTGATTCCATGTAGAAAGACCTATAATAGCAAGTGTTTTTCACATGACAGAAGGCTGTTTACAATTGTTCTTCGTTAATCAATGGTTTCAAGTGATTTTATGTTCTTCTTACTTCCCTCTTCTTCTAGCTAGCAGTGTATGCGTGTGTGTAAGGTGGTGGTGGGGGCGGTGGTGGTGGCGGTGGTGGGGGGGGGGGGGGGGGGGGGGGAGGAAGTGAAGGATCTTCATCATGCTTTTTTCGATAAAGTTCTATCAACAGATTTTCATTTGTTCGTTGCTCATTGTTAACTTTTATTTTAGATCATCTTTATTGCATGTCGGACATGACCATAAGTGCTCCAGTCTCCTCCTGAGTATGTCTCCAAGTGTTTTTAGGCTAATAACTCCCATTCTGTTCTGGTTAATGTCACGACGGGTGGCTTTTGTGTAATTTCTCTGTCTCTAAGTAGTACATCCGCGGTATGCAGTCTATTCAGAGAAACTGAAAACCTCACAGCGCTTAGTACCTCGTATGGAATTGATGATGTCTCCACTGTCCACAGAGGGCCTATTCCTGATAGTCGCACTATCTCAACTGAGTTAAACGAGATTTTCATTTATTTATGGCCATTCTTGATGCTGTCATTCCATGTTCACTATATTTTTTTTTAGCTTGACTTTCTGTGGCAGTTGATACTAGGGAAATTCTCACAAGATGGCCAAACCATGTCATCTGTTACTCTTTAATAAATAGTGTTTTAAATAGGGCTGAACCGAACAGTGATTTTCACTATTCGGCTGAATACGAATAGTGGGACCAACTATTCAGCCGAATACGAATACGAATAGTTATCATCATCATCAGGTGCCTTGCCGACTGGCGTGGGGGATCATGCCTCGCCACAATCTGCTATCTCCTGCATGTATCAGTTCATGTGCTGACACACCTCCATGCCATGCAACAAGACTGTCAAGAATCTTCTATTGTTGTCTTCCTCTATCCCTCCATCCATAGATCTTTCCAGTGGTCACAAAATGTTCCATTTTCCCTCTTCTCATAACATGGCTGAAAAATGACGACTGTCTCCTTCTGATGTCTGTGATTAGTTGTCTTCGGGCTATCGCCTCTTTCAAAACCATTGTTCGCTCAGCCGTTCGTTCGATGTAATTTAAACGCACCTTCATATTCTCGTTAGCAATATCTTCAAATTTGATTTGGGCGAAGACATCCTGAAAGAACGAAACATGCATGATCTCTCTCTCTCTGCCTCTCTCTCTCTCTCTCTCTCTCTCAGACACACACACACACACACACACGCAGTTTGTACCACGCAACCGGGTCGCAGTTTGTACCACGCAACCGAGTCGTAGTTTCCCCCGCTACGACAGACTTAGGCAACAGCAACTATTGTGTTAATGAATGAAGTTATTTCAGTCCGTCACAGTGTATGCAAAAACGGGAAATGTAAGGTAACCACTATTCGTATTCCGCCCGACGCAACTATTCGGCCGAATACTGAATAGTTATTAGGTCCACTATTCGGCCCCGAAGCGAATACGAAGCGAATATTCGGTACAGCCCTAGTTTTAATTACTTCGTCATAAAATATGAACATAGTTTTCTAGCTAGAAAATGTCACACAAAACTATTATTTTTGCTAATAATTCTTTCATTTTGAAAACAAATGAATAAGCAATCATTAAAATGTAAGTGTAACAATTTGTGCAATAATTACAGTGAGTTTATCCAGTTTGTTTTCAACAGCGTGCTTATCTCCCCCAACGTCAACACAGAAAGCTTGTTTATCTTTTATAACTGTTATCCAGTCTAAGGCAGCTTGCAAGCTATCCTGATACTGCTGATGTATAGCAACAAGTTGTTCTGATCTATGTACCAGATTCTGAAAAACACAATGGTAACTTGCAGTTACATTTGATAAACAAAGGTCTCATAAAGCAATATTAGGTAAGTCAAGCTAAAGTGAAGGACCCTTCTCCATGCTTTCAGGTGTATTGTGTTTTAAAAACATGTCCTAATTTATTTTCTGATTCCATCCTGAAATGAAAATGTCATACACAGACAAAGGATGATGATGATGACAACCTTACCAGCTGAAACCTGTAACCTCAGTTGTTTTACTTTTGGCATGTTTCCTTTGCCTGTTCTCTCTTTTGTTTCTTGGCTGAGAGTGGTGCCACCATGATTCTTCGCCTGCCACTAAGCAGAAGAGAAATGCATCATCCACTGCTCTGTGATGCAGCAAGTGGTTCAAAACCATTCCACACACTCCTTCTTTTGGTGATCAGTCAATAATCACGGTACTAGTGTAAAAACACCTTTAGATTTTGCAGTGTCCTATAAAACAACTTTTTGAACCGTCTCAGCTGATACATGGAATTATTTTGCCAGTCAACATATGCTATGACAGTGGTTCACCCATACTGCTGCATCAATTTCGATAAAGGATTTTTCTGTTGCAACAATACATGTTTGTCATGAACTCACATGTCAACATTTGTGAACATTTGTGTCGAGTCTGTCACTGTGTCTTCAACATATATTTGTTACCATAGGCTGCCTGCACTCTTCTATGCATGCCTGCTAGTCCTCATCCTTAAAGAAAGAAACTAAATCCCTGCTCTATGAGCATCTCTAAACAGATTTTTGATTAACTTGTCCATTTTTTCAACAGTCAGATACAGAACCTATGCATGCATCTTTCTTGGGATGTGGGATATTTCCACCCTAATTGGGAAGGTTGGGGGGAATGCCCCAGGGTCACCATAAAACCGAGAGAAGCCAGAGACTCAGAGTAAACAAGGTTTTCAAGGGAAGGGGGGGGGAACGACCATGTGTTACCACCTGGGACCCAAGAACGACCACGTGTCACCACGTGGAACCCAAAACTGATTATAAGATCAGACCACGTTCTGATCAGACAGTATGTGTTGGACCGTTGGAGCGAGAGGGTGTGTATGATCCAGTGTGAATGAGAAGAATCCCTGTCAACATGAAACTGATTGCTTCAAGACGACGACTAGACTACAACATTCATCAAAGTGAAGTCCACTGACTCAGTTGCGGGAAACCACGAATGCAGTGACCAGTGTCATTCATGCAGAGATGCTGAAGTAAAGACAGAACTCCAGAGTGCGAATGCGCCACGATTCAATGTACTGGTGTCTGAGCGATGTGGTGCTCGAATGCTGTGCTTGTAGAGTAGGACACGGACTGGACATATTGTGTAAGTGCTCAAATGTTAATAAACAGTTATGTATCATGGAGAGGGTGTCTACTCAAAACATCTGTTTCATCGTAGAGTGTCAGTCATATCATCAATTAGAGTACACCCCCTAGACAACAGCCAAGGACCGAGCAGACAATATTGCAATGCTCTTTTATTCACTAGTTAGTACATATCACAGGACTAGGACATGATCATGTTCAACACAAGCAATTAAGCATGATGCAGCAAAAACAGGCATCACATAAACACTATTAATACAAAGTGGCATCAGAGGCTAATGTGGCAGTCATATTTATTGACAGTGATTGTATGTACTCACATCAGCATCTGTTCTGAGTTTCTCATACTGTGAGCTGACAGTGGTGATGAATTCTGAGACTTCGGGGCTCTTGGTAATCTGTAGTATACCGTGGGCTTTCAGTATCAGCGAATCAAGAACTCTTTGATGAGATGTTATTTCTTGGAAAATGTTCTAAGGAATAATAAAATAAATAATGGCAGAATCAGAAAAGTGGCTTTAAGGAATATCAATACGCTTTAGTCAATTTGTGAAGAGTGTACAAACACACACACACACACACACACACACTCTCTCTCTCTCTCTCTCTCTCTCTCTCTCTCTCTCTCTCTCTCTCTCTCTCTCTCTCTCTCTCTCTCTCTCTCACTCTCTCTCTCTCTCTCTCTCTCTCTCTCATGAGAGTTGGCAACAGACCGAGTTTCTTTCAGGTAGACTGTTATGAGAGCGATGTTCTGCAAAGAACCTGCTATACGATGACAATGAATTTAATACATGTAAAAGTTAACACACACAAAACATTTTTTTTAAAGCTGGCAGTATCAGTTTAGCATTTATTGATTTCCGTACATGCATTATCACATGTGTAGTCAATGTGAAAACAACATACCAAGTGAGCCTGTAACTGATGTCTTTTCTCCTGAAGTGTGCTCTTCCAGTCTACATCTGCAAAAAGTGCTGCCTCCATTTCAGTCAACCACTTGATGAACTGGTCCCTTCCATCACTGTATGAAGACCACTGATGCAGGCATAAATCTATATGACGCTGTGCATCATTTAAGTCTGACTGAACAGTTTCCCAGCTCTGCTTAGCCATTCGCAGTTCACCACGAATTGTCTCTCTTCCTGCTGCTGAAGTATCTGGATATAACTGTTCCCCTGACTCCAGTGCTGAGCTGAGCTTTCTATGACCATGGTCACTTTCACTTATTAGTATCTGAAAAATAAGCAGAACATGCTGGCAAGGTATGTTAAAAGCACAGGTGACTACTTTGAAACAACCGGGAACAATGTCTTTACAACTTTATCATTATAATGTTCTCAGACATAATAACTAACATAAATACCAAAATATATATCTTTATTATCATAATGGCATTAGAATATCTCATGATCATCATCTACAAACCTAATGTGTCAATTACAATAGAAGGGATTTTTAATGTTTATCTACTTCACACTAAAGTTCATCAACCAGTCATGTACCTTGTTTTAAATACGGCACAACCTTGCATAATTAGAAGCAAATTATAAAGAATGGTAAAAAAAAAGTAAAGTAAAGATCCCTTTTCACGCCTTTTGGCGCATCGGGCATATGGACAGAGCGTCCCATATTTTTACAGTTTATGGTATGTAATGAATAAACATGGTCTTGACTGTAGTTAACAAGAATAAATTCCTCAAAACTGCAAAATACAACAAATCAAAATGTGTGTGAGTGTGTATATATACACATGCACAGAAAGTGCAAGTGACTGACAGCAGGATCAGAAAATGAGATAACACATGATTGGTTGGAACGACTTACTGTGGATAAGATGCTTGACTTTTCAGACAAGGATGAAAAGTTCTTCACAAGCTGCAATGTTATATTGTTTTTTTAAGAACTCCCACTGCAGTGAGCAATTGTATAAAATAAAATTTAAATAACAGTGCCTCTACTGAATTTTAAATTTAGCAAACCTACCCAGGATATAATATCTACTGTTTTTTGATACACCAGAATTCTTGCCATTGCTACAGTTTGTGCACAAAGCTGAAATTTTCACACCAAAGTTAAATATGAGGGTTATTCCAAAATCAACCTCTGGTTGCCTGGTAAAATAATAATTTGGTATAGTGACACAGTTCATTGCTTGCATCACTCAGTAGTCTTTTAGCTCACTACACATTAACCTACAGTCATATTTGTTTACTGGTTAAAGAATCAGAAATGAATAATGGACACTGTTAATGCCTTTCTTGCCAGCTGTGAATTTTATAATGTGATTTGTTTTCTTCAAGCAGAAGGTCAAAATGCCACCGAGATTCACCGCTGACTGTGTTATTTGTTATGAGTGACAGTTCTGTGAGGGATGGTGCAGGAAATTCAGAGATAGGCGTAAAGATGTGCATGATGAGGGTGGGCAAGGCAAATTTTGTTAAAAGTGGGTAGCAAAGCAAATGACTGACTTTCAAAAAGCTTTGACGTTCCTCCTTTGCTACTGGAAATATGGGGGTGCATTTTACAACAGAACAGTGACTGGGGACAAGACATGGGCTCACTTCATGAATGCAGAGATGAAGGAACAGTCAAAACAGTAGATGCATACCCATTCTCCAAACAAACACACACACATCCAAGCAAACATTTTTGCAACGAAATTATGGTTATAGTGTTCTGTTATCACTAGTTCCTTCTGTTGGTAGAATTCATGACACTAAGGACCACAATAATGTGGGTACTGTGTTGATTGAATTCATGATACTAGAGACCCCAATAATGTCAGAAGTGTATTGTGAAACACTGAAGAAGTTTTGTTGATCGATCTAAATTAAATGGTGTGAAATACTCACCAGTAGAGTCATTATCCTACAAGAAAACATGTGGCGCCACACTGCTGCTCACACAAAGGCTTTACTTGAGCAGTTTAAGTGGGTTGGCTTATCTAGAGCTTCGACACCACCAAGGGGTTACAAAAACTATCTTGATATGAGAAGTGCCTAAATTTAAATAGGTAATATGTGGAAAAGTAATTTAATGATGTATGCAATTTGTGTATTTTTTTTTTAGATGTCACTATCAATTTGTGTAAATTTTTACCAGCCAGGAGGTTGATTTTGGAATAGTCCTCAAATACAATTACTGTCAAATACCAGAATGATGGACTTTTTCTCTTGTAAAGATATGTGATCCTGCACAGGCTGTGTGCATTCTTGAAGTCTTTGATTGGCTGCAGAAATCCATTCTTGAAAGTCATGCATTCGACAATTGTAAAGCTGGTGTTCCTGAACCAGTCTGTCCCATTTGGTGATCACGTCCTAAAAATAAAACAACATAAAAAAATGTGTTTTCTAGCTACAGTCAGGAGCTGCTGTGTTTGTGTCACCTCATCAAATACTGAACCAACCAGTTAAACAAAGTTATTAACTCTAGTGACTGGAACCTCCTTGCTGTAGCAGTTTTGGGCTATCCTCCGAACTTTGGGCACTAAAGATGACGGCCGCAAAATACCCTTTCGAGCCACAGTCACGTGACTGAATTTGCGGTTCTCCGGCAGTTTTCCGGGGACTACCGCCACCGCCATGAGTCTACCACGTCGCTCATGCGGCGTGGATTGGGGCTAAACTAGATAGCTAGGACTCACGAGCAAAGCTTCAGGAGATGCGGAAGCTGTGGCGGTGGCGGTAGTCGCCGGAAAACTGCCGGAGAACTGCAAATTAAGTCGCCGGAAGTGCGCAATTGACACGTGATTGTGGCTCGAAAGGATATTTTGCGGCCGCCATCTTTAGTGCCCGAAGTTCAGAGGATAGCCCAGTTTTGATACAAACTTGCGGTCACTAACGCAACACTAGCAGGTTCACTATCAAACAGTTGTAGTCTTACATATAGCCTGAACGAGATGTAAACATTTCTGGAGAAATGACTACAAATGTTGCCCAGTGAATGATGCACCTACAAATCTGCATTTGTCTATGGACTGTATAACCTGAGAGTAAATAGCCTGCTACCATATAATCTCATGATACAATGTAAACAATAGTCTCACAAATGGTGACAGAAGAATACTTCAATGAGCAAGACAAAAAATAATCAGGCAAAAGGAATGCTAGAGTGTGTGGCTGGCTTCTCTGACCATAAGGTGTGTGAACTGATTGCTAGTGTAGGATCTGAAAAAAAGAATAGCTATTAAAAATCTGTTATGCAAGTTATAAAATCATACAGATAAAACTGTTGTCATTAATGTAGGGGGAGGCTTATGACCTTAACTATCTCACCCTAAGAAAGCCTTTCGCCCAGCTTGTATTTATTTTTGTTAATAGGATGTCTTTAGACAGTGTCCAGTATGCTTACATGACAGCTCAGATGCAACTGCACAGTGTGTAGATAAATTGTTGTTAAGAGAACAAGGTTCACACCACCAGAGAAGGTTACAGTCTAATGGTAGCTTGTGATTTACCCATTACTGTGAATGTTGCATTCCCTTTCTTCACACTCTTCTGCTTGTATTATACAATAGTACAGGTATATTGGTGCTTACGCTGAAGTATAATGGTTCATCAACCATATATGAAACTATAAATCTGAGGATTTGCTTTTAGTCTACTCAAATGCGCAACAGTGTGTGCTGATTGGTTTGATAGTATACTCTTTGTGAACAGTCAACTGTGTTTACTTACATAGGAGGCCAACCCAAGAGACTTAACAACCCAAAAGTAAACCACAAAATTATATGGCAGATATGGTCCCCAGAACTGACATCATTATTCTGGATGGTGGGGACACATTATTTTAGGTAAGTAGCATTAAAAAAGTAAGAAAGTGTATTTTACTTTGATATGAGACAGAAGTCCCTGGTATTTGTTACTGAGCTGAGACACCTGTGCAGCCAGTCTCACATCACAGCTCACATGCATCAAATTCTGAGCATCATCTGTAAATGTGTCCATCTGTGCCTGGTGGGCAATAATCTCTTCACGCAGCTTCTGCAAAACATCAGTAATTTTAAAAACTGTGAGGCAAGAACACGCAAAGAAAATCAAGTCACTGAGTCACAAATAAAGCTTCTTTCTCTGTGTTTATGTGACATCTACACTCAAATATTGAAGCTTAGCCATTTGATTTGATTTGATTTGATCCAAGAACCGACATCACAGAACTCGGGGCATTTCCATAAGCTCCCCGTCCCCATCTTCAGCAGCCAGCGAAGAGTTCCGATACTAATGGTGCCAGTAGCTTTCTGATTGAACGTCCGTCTTGCCTTTCCTCTGAGCCTTGAGCTTCTGCCAGAACCTCTCGTCACCCCCAACTGCATCAATCTCACCACACTGTGGTGGCCCATCTGCCCCTCCGAATTGTACACGCTCTCCCACAAGGCACTAACCACGTCTGCTTAATCATGTATCAGTATTCCACCAAGTTGTGCAGAGCCAGCCAGTCTGGCCGCCTGTTCATTTCCCAACACACCAGCGTAACCCGGCGAAAAAATCTAGACAATACTCCTCACTCGTGTCCTCAGCAGCGAAGCATGCCACTCTGTACGAAGCATACCAGTTCTGATCTTCCTCAGCATGCTTTCTGAATCAGTTACAATCACGATGTGTGTATGTGTCGTGTTTTCTAGCCAGCGGGAAGCTGCAGTGACCGCCTCCACCTCCATTCTTAAACTGGATGTTGTGGTATCATATGCTAGGCTCTCCTGCACCAAACGTCAACCATTAACTTTTGCTAAGAAGCCCCAAGCACTTCTTTTGTATCTTGACACTGAACCGTCTGTGTAAATGATCAAATCCTCCGAGCGAGCATTATCTTGAATTAATTGCTGAATTTCCACCTCTGTGGCACCTGCTGACCAGTCTCTGCATTCCCGGCTCAGCGCGATTATGACTCTACACAGGTCTGACTGCTCAGGTGGCACTTTGACCCACTACTCTCCTCGCCTAATGTTCTCAAGGATGCAAACCTGTTTGATTGTGTCTTCTGCCTGAGCCATCCATGACCTCCCTCTTATCAGTCGCTGACCCTTAACTGCACCCAGAGCTTCATGCAAAGCTTAGCCATGAACCTAACTAATGCATTCTCAAAGCCTAAGAGACTAATAATATCAATACAACTTTACAAAACAGAGAGCTTTATGTGTCAATCAGAGGCAGCAGATAATCTGACCTGGGAATAAATGTATGTTACATGTAAAGGTAGAAAAGTGTTACCAGTCTTCAATACCTGTCCACAAGGAACAAAAACCTGATAAAGTAGAAGGGAATAGTTTGTGCGACTGCACCCCCCAAAAAAATTAATGACTTAGTAAACATTTTATTGAAGTTTGCAAGAGTTTATATACCATCAAGTATAAGATGCTTTTGGTGGGGCTGCTCTCATCTGCAACTTGCAATGCAGTGCTGGTCCTGGCAATCGCTGTCCTGATAGGCTGTGCATGGTGTGTCCCGCTAGCAGCCATCTCCCAGCCAGAGCAAAATGTAGCAGGAGCAATGTTAACGAGAATGTGTCCGCACTTGACTGCCATGGTCACGACAAGAGTAAACAAACATGTTTACAATGATTCTGTCAAAGCAACATCTCCTGTAGACAGTTTCTCATGGTGAAATCCTGTCTCCATACATCCTATGTCAACACTCAACACTGTTGTCACAATTCATTCAACACTTGGTGTTAACTTCCTATTTGTACCAATAAACATTCTTGGCCTGTTTCTTCTGTTGAGTTCAATCTCTTTTATCTTGGTCAACTATACTATTCGTCTTTTTAATAATGCCTTCCATTATTCTTCTTTTTTTTTTTCTGTTTCTTCTTTACGTCCTCTTTTATCACTTTGGGTGTCAAGGGAGATATAAGGTCCTGGTACATGCTCTTCTGGCTGCTATAACCATAGACACATTGTAGTGCTGTAGAGTTTCTCTGATGTTACCTTCCTTTCTTGTTCTTAGTCCACTTTTTGCTCTACGTCCTTCTCCTCTTTTGGTATATGCCTTGCATGGTACAGCAACAAAAGGCATTCTCTCCAAGTGGGCAAACCATTTGATTTCCTGGGAATGCTGAATATAATACAAAAATTGACTAGAAAGTTCAACAGAAGGAATGGAAAAGATGCAGTCGAACAGAATCAAATGTTTCTACCAAAGTCTTTATCAATGGAATACTAATTACAGTACAAACTATGACTGGAAAAACTCTTTGGACAAGAAATAGAAGCTAATAAAAAATCCAGGTCAACATGAAACCAAAAAGTATGTAACTAGGGGGAGGGGGGAAATGAATATGAGGGGCTATAATACAAAACTAAATAAGTAAGAAGGCGTATGTAAAAAAAAAAAAAAAAAAGTTTGAGAAATATGAATAAGTTAAAAAAACAAAAACAAAAACATTTAAAAAGTAATAAATTAAATTAAATTAAATAATGCTGTGTTGAATATTGATCCCTCCAGGACTAAGAATGCCAAAACTATGGATGAAATGATTTTATAATGAGTAGCAGCTGGTTTGATCATCGGAGCAAGTTTATTAGCAGTGATTGAGAGATAGTTTTCACCTTGGTGGTCAAAACTGTTAAAATGGTGGGAGGTTTGAGAGCTTTATTATCAATGTCAGTAGGATGTTCACAGAAGTGATCTGCTAGCTTCCTACTGGTTTCCCCAATATATATGCCTTTAACATCTTTTGCAGATGTGTTAGAGAATTTTGCAGATATGTTGGGGATATATTTAAATTCTGCTTCTTTTTTCTATGGATATTATTTCTGTCTTTTTAATGTTAATTTTCATATTATATTATTTAATTTACATGGATGTGAGATGTAAATTCATGGCTGTATCTGTCATCAAAGCCTGGTCATCAGCAAAGAGTAATTCATAGATGTTACTAATATTTTTGTTCCTGGGCTTAGCATCTTTGTTTATACTGTCAATGTAGGTGATTATCAGCATTGGAACTCAGCAATGGCTGCTGAAGATCAGGACGAAACACACATGGGAATGCTCCAAGTGCTGTGATGTCAATTCTTGATTTAACTGAACTCAACTCAACCGTAGGTGACTAACAGGAGTAGTGATAAGAGACATTCCTGTCTTTCTCTAGATTTTACTTTAAATGATTTAGATATTCCCTGATTTATTCTAACTATGCTTCTACAATACATATACAGACTTTTGCAAACTTCAATTAAGTGTTCACGTAATCCATATCAATGCATTTACAATTAATGTCTTCAACTAGGTCTCTTTATGTTTTCAGCATTTCCTGGATCTCTACTTTTGTTTACTCTGTTGTTTCAGTGAAATGTAGCTTATCTTTTAATATAGGCACACTGTGTCACCAGCTTATCTGAGATTATTTTATTTTCTTCATTTGGTATTTAGTTCAGACATTTATTTGACCTGCTTGGAACAGATTTCTGAGTACATTTAACATGTAAGAAGTCAGGCAATGCACATGCCTGTTATCTCTTTCATCTATACCAACCTACAGTAATTATTTGCTGTGCTAAAATGTATTCTAAGTCTTAAGTAACATGTCTGACATGTTTTCTGTCTATTTTTAGTAGTCACATCATAACTGTTTACATTGTGTTCTGTTAAAATCTGCCATTTAGTCTTGCAGGAAACATACAAGTATTTTTTGACTTCTTTATTTAAATAAACATTCTTAAACAAATTATGATCTTTAACGAAGCAATTCGTCATAAAATAAATGTGTGCTGTAAATATAAATAAAATTTGAACATTGACGTCTAAAAACGAGACATCTAAAAACATATTTACAACTGTAAACAAACTGTTTATACAATTCTTTACCAACCTTGAATTTGCTCAGCTGTTTCTCTTTCTCCACAGCTGTATCTCTAAGTTCATTGTCTTTTACCTTTTGCTCTATATCATTTATCCAAGCAGTACACTGTTCAAATTTTGAGTGAACATGTTCCCACATGTTCAAAGTCTGGTTGAGAGAAGATTCTGTATGTGCCAAGAGGTTCCAGAAATCTTCCCATTCTCTCTGGAGATGATCCAGCTCTCTCTTCACCACCTCCTGCCCCTGCGGTAAAGTATTCTTTGAGGTTGCAATAGCAAGCTTTTTAGCAGCAGCCAATTTAGCTTCTCCGTTTTTAACACTGGCTGCAAACCCCTGTAATAATTGTGTAAATATTATTTTCTTTAAAAACAACAACAAAAACGTTTTAGCAATAAACAAAGGATGTATAGGCCAGCAAAAGCATAAACATAAGTCATAAAGACAACACTAACTTTGACTTTGAGGTTGCTAGCATCTGCTAAAATATACTTTAACATTTACTGATCTAGTGCTTTAAGGTAAGAACAACCAAAGACTACACAGCAACAGTGCTAGAACCTTATATACTAATTACTGCAGTAGTTAAAGTCATTAAGCAGTCACCCAAACATAAAGCACCAGAAGCTGACAAATTACCAACAGAAATGATCCAAGCAGCAGGTGAAAGTGACATTAGATGACCTGTCAACTCTTCAATGTCATAGACTGTATATTTAGTGGTACAAAAACTCAGCATTAAGAATATAGAAAGCCATATTGCCAAAGATGTTTCAGACGCACTGTAATACAGACTAGTTATACAGGTTCTTATTATAACTGGGCAGTATCAGGTGTTAAATTAAAACTGCACAGTAAAGTTATTAAAGATAGTTGCTACAGTTCATGTATTACATATAACCTTACATAAGAATCAAAGACACTGGGGAGAGAAAACCTTTTGGATGTTTTAGTGAGACAAACGTGAGAGTGTGGAATAAAGGAGTGGGACATATAAAAACACAAAAAGATAAAGGTCACTCAGGCACACAAACCCAATTAAGTGTGTATTAGAGAATGTGTGTATATGTGTACCTATCTGGTTGTAGGGATAATAACAGTATGTTTGTGCTGACATTAAAGTTGAGAGGATCAAGATCACTGCACTGGCGGGGGAGGAGGAGATGGAATGGCTCTGTCAACAATCCTCAGGGATCATCATAAAAATTGCACTCATGAACTGAATGACACAGCTGTAAAATGAACACACAACATTCATAGTGCAAGGCAAATAACTGAACAACTTCACTATGAAGTCCACGCCCCTCCCCCCACCCTTCCTCCCGGATGGGTGTGTGTGTGTGAGATTAGTGTATATATAGGTAGATGGGGGCCATACAGGTGAAGTTTCTGTGACTGACTCTCACCCAGCACCTTACCTTCAACTGTTCCTTCTTTCCTTGAAGTGACACTTTATCACCTGATCTGTCAGAACATGCCTCAAGTCTGTCACGAGCAGTGATTAACCAGTCACTGAAATCCTGAGCAGCATCCTGGTACTGTTGGTGATCGTGTACTGAGTGCTCCAGCTTGTCTAGGACATCCCTGGATCTCTGGCAGACACTGTCATACCTGTGTTTCAGTTCTTCAACAAAGCTGATGACCTAGCCAGAAACAATGTACAGATTTTGTTCATATTTTCCAGAATATAATGTCAACATGTTTTACAGAACTACTGGTGCATGTCGACTCTTGTCCAGGAAGACAGTATATTTTCTAAATAAACTGAGGTTACAGTGTCAAAGTTGACATTACAAAATGTCTACACTACCAACAGAAAATGACCATGTGATGAAATACCTTACTTCTACTAAGCAGAAATAAACAGGATAAAGTTAATGAAATGGCATGAAAAGTCAGTTTCAGACAAGTCTTGTATCACTTAGAGCAGTGGCTTTCAACCTTCCTGATCCCGCGACCCTTTAACACATTGCTGACCAACTTTGACAATCATCGAATTTCCGGTCATATCCCCTGGTGACCAACTTTGATGATCATTGAATGCTTGAGATGCAGACAGGCACGCAGCCTTACCGAAAGTTTTTGAATTAAGCTTCATCCAGGCACTTTTATTATTCCAAGATGGCTGGGCCTAAGATTGAGATCGCTTTGAGCCGATACAAGCGTTGTTTTCAGTGAAATTTTAATAATTTTCATTACTAGCGTGTATTCATCCTTTTTGTTATGTCGTGTGGCAAAAACCAGACCCCTACTACTGATGATTCGGAATCTGTCGGCGAATGTAGCGCTGAAAACGATAATTCCTGGATAAGTAGAGATTCACCTGTGAATGTAATCGTCATATTGCAACTGAAAGTAGTGACAACGATGATAGACTTGATGACGGAGGTGATGTAGGTACATCTTAATAAAGAAGTGGGCGTGGCACAAGAGACCAGAAGATTTTTACAGCTGAAAATGCTGTTTGTAAATGAATAAAGGCTGCTCAAAATGAACTTGTTAAGCTTGACAATCATCCTCCATACAAACAGCAAGGTGCCATGTCAGATATAACTGGGTGTAAGCTGATTTTTTAAAGAAAAAGCAATTGCAGCTGAAAAGGGCAGATCTTCCTGTTTTACATGACAAAAGATAAAGGCATGTTAGCCATTACTTGGCATGACACTAAGAGAGTTTGCCTGATATCTACTGTTTAGTCCAATGATGTTATGGACAAGACAGTTAAGAAAAGTGGAATTCTTGAGGGCAGCAAAATAAATGAGCCTTTTCTTGCAGAAAAATGCAACACTATAATTGGAGGTGGGGGAGGGGTGTCGATCACTTCGTCCAGCTGGGTGCAAACTACCCCTACCCACTTAGATCCTACAAATGGTACCTGCCATTATATTTTTTTTTTTTTTTTTTAGTTGACACTGCTTTGGTCAATGAGCATATAAGCTAGAACTCTATGCACAAGATCACAGCAGGTGTCCAAGAGGGATGGAAATTACCAAGAAAATGAGTATGAAAATATAACTTTCAAACAAACATATACTGTGCAAGTTTCTTTAGTATGTTTGGACCATAAGTATATTTTATGTTAACATAAAGTGCATTTCTTGATGCAATAAATCAGTAGCTAATTGCACATGGTGCGTTGTTTGGGACCGAAAGAGTTACCAGCATAAATTAAAATCTTCAGAATTATATTTCAGACCATACATGGTGCACATGTATGCACCTGTGGGTGCTCACGGGTGTGTGTTTATGTATGTATGTATGAAAGAGAAATAACCACAGGTACATCATCATCACCAAGTGCCTTGCCAACTGGAGTGGGCCATCATGCCTTTCCACAATCCTGGATCTTTATTAGCAGGTATCAGTTCATGTGTTAACCCCCCCCCCCCCATGCCATGACAAAAGGTTATCAGGAATCCTCTTGTGTTGTCTTCCTCTCTTTCTTTTTCCAGATATCTTTCCAGTAGTCACAACATGCTCCAGTTTCCTTCTTCTCAAAACATGACGACTATGTTTTTGATGTTTGTGACAAGCTGTCTTCAATCCCTGGCCTTTTAAAAATATTGGGCTTGCTCTTTGACAGTTTTGACAGTCCAGTATCAAGACAAGCTACGACCATCCTAGAAAAATCAAAACAGCCAAAAAATTCTGGAGTTGATTATGCAATGTCCTCTAAAGATGTGACGAAACACCTCAGTGTTTTCAGAAGTAAGTATGTGCAATAATGTCTTCTGGTTATAGAGAGACAGAGAATTATATTTGCTATGCCCTAAGACCGAAAAAAATTACTAAAACCTCATGGATTTAATTGTTACCAGTCCTTAGCCCAGACAAAGCAACCAAGCTTTGGTTAATATTACATAACATTACCTAATATAGCCCGCTGGTCTACCTGGGAAAATTCAGACATAGTGGCTGTAGGGTTTGATTGTAGAACTGAAGTGTCATGTAATTATCTTCTGACCAGAGACCCTTAGGGGCATGCAATTCAGTCATAAAACTAACTATCCCCCCTGAGATTATCTTCCTTGAACTGCAGACCAGTCCCTGGTGTCATAAAGGTTACACACCAGCCCTTTCAACTGATAAGATAGGGGTAATTAACTTGGTCAAGTAGGAAACACAATAGCTTCACTGACCCTGTCTTTTCACACCTGCCAGTGACACTATATGGGACTAGATGTTTACCACTTGAGAATGTTTGCTCAGAGTGGTGACCGTCAAGAATTGACTGACAGGCACCTTGATAGCTAATTTGATCTGCAAGGTACTTCTGGTGCGTAGTTTAGAGCTTCACCCGTAGGACAGGTTAAATACTAGAAAGGGGAGGAGTTTAATTTAGACAACAGATTGATACTTATACTGCTAGCATGTTAAATGTACCTCATAGTGCTGCCAGCAAGCCACAAACTCAGACCTACAGTAGGAAGTATTTCTAGATGGTTGAGTCTTGTTTGGCAATTGCTGGAACGTTCCCAGGTATAAGTGTATATTTTTTTTTCATCTTTATTCCTAGGTTAGGAGCTAGCTTAGTCTATTCTTCCTTTCCTGAGTTTTCTACACATTCTGCTTGAAATAGTTCTTTGTGAGTATTCAGTTAAATTGCTGAAACGTTCCCAGGTATGAGTGTATATTTTTTTTTCATCTTTATTCATAGGTTAGGAGCTAGCTAAGTCTATTCTTCCTTTCCTGAGTTTTCTACACATTCTGCTTGAAATAGTTTTTTGTGAGTATTCAGTTATCTCAGATAGGGAACTGCTAAATCATTCCTATTTCTTGTATGTTTGTATCACATGTTTTTCAGTGTATGTTTTCTTGTGTATAAAATAAGATGTTAACAATGACATTTGCTATAATGAAATTTTATTATTTTGTTTCAATTATCAACCCAAAACATGTGCCTGGACTGTGGGAAAATCATGCCTACATGTGCAGCCATGTGGTTGAGTTTTGATAGCTCACCATGTGCTCACTGTCATTGGAAATACAATATTCCGGACACATATAAAATAGTTTGAGTTGTCAGCACAAAACCTGCTCCAAATGTTCATGTAAAACAATGTTTTGGAAGTCTGAGTGAAGACGGACAGCAGACTTAGCAAGTCAACTATCATGACAGTACATGAGAGGGAAGGCAAGATATGTGACGTCAATGTGAGACATAAGACCTTTAGACTGGAGAGGATGTGGAAGATGAGCAGGAGAGATGTTATGTATATATATATTGTATTGGTATATGCATGCATAGTGTAACAATAGATACTACACACATGTGTTTGTTTCACAGCTCCAGTCGGGGTGAAGACGTCTGCTCTGATAGAACTAGATGGTCACATATCCTGCCTTCCCTCTCATGTACTGTCAAGTGGCTCTTATAGAGCATGCAAGGATTCTTTTCCTAACCTCCAATGGCATAAGACTTTTTGAATTGAATGTTTTATTTTTTAAAAGTAGTTTAAGCCTGTCCTATACTGATCTTTATCTCCATGACACAGCTTCCATCCAATGTTATCCATGTGCCTAAATATTTAAGTTTAGGTACTTATTTTTAAACACACACACAAACACACACACACACTAACATATTTATTTTAGTGAAAATTTAGTATAAAATGACATAACAGATGATCATTAATGTAAAAACATTTCAGCATTCATTTTGGCATTTTATTCAATACCGCAGCCTACCTTTCCTGATTGAGAAGACTCGGTAAGAGCATGGGCTTTCTGTCTCAAGCTGTCAATGATGTGTTCACGAGATAAAATGTCTTGATGTAGAACCTAAAACAATTGTAATCACTGCATTAACTGGAGTAATCATTCACAGATAGTGTTGTTTCTGAATGTCTGGATGTGTCCGTGTTTAAAACAAAATGCTTTATTATGGAAATCAAATTTCTGTCAAACAATAGTTGCAACTTGAAAACATACACTGGTGTACTAAATACTGCACCTGTCATCTATGAATAAAGAATGGAAAAAAGTTATGAGAATCAACAATAAAAAGATCAAAGTAATATCAACTGAAAGAAAAAAGCAGAACCTAGTTATAGCAGTAGAGTGCAAAGGCATTAAGCAGACATCTTTTGAGTTTAAATATCTGAGAATGACATTCACTGAAGATGGAAAATGAAATGAAGAAATTAACATCAGCTGCAGTAAAGCAAATCAACTACTGGGACAGCTAGTTTCCAGCAGAAAAAAATCCAGATCAGCACAAAGAAACAGGTCAAAAATAGCATATTGATTCCCATTCTATTCTACCAGTGTCAGACATTGTCGCTCACAAACCATACAAGAAAATTAGTAGCCATTGAAATGAGATGCCTGAGAAGGGCAGTAGGAGTGACCAGAAGAGATCAAATCAGGAATGAGGTCAGACAAGAAAAAGCTGGCACAGAACTAATTCTAAACTACATACAATGACATAATTCAGAGATCTACCAATGAAGATCTAATTAACTCTTTCAGTCCCAAGGAACACATCATACATTCTAAGATTCCTACCTAGAAGACAATGATTTTACATCTCTCTGCTACCTCTTGAGAAAATTTGAGCTAGGCGTCTGTTTGATGTAAAGTATGTTGTTAATTTACAAGAGCATTATTCTGTGTGGAAATAGTAAATACGCCGAGAAACTGAGTGGATGTTATCTTTCAGAAACAACACTCCAGCCACACATCAGACTTTCTGACTTCTAAGCAACAGGAGATATCGCATTAACTGAACACCATAAGTCTGTGACATGGAATTCAACCAATAACTGCTTTGTACATTCGTGCCTGTCTTTGTGTTTGGTTAGCTGTCAGATGGGCAGCAAAATAATTGTTCCTTGTTCTTGAGAGTCATGGGTGTAAAAAAGGTTGAGGAACACTGGTGTAGAACATTACAAAACAAACTTAAAAAACTAATGAAATTAAATGTAAATTCAGTTTGCTGTTCAAAGTTAATCTAAATGTCCACACACAACTGAAGGAGATAATAATGTTTTCCTTGATCAAATCTGAATCTAAATGCATTCAGTTCAAACTTGAACATTTACTTTTTATTTTAATATCTGCACAGTAAAACTGAACAATAATGAACACACAGATTCAAAATTCTCTTTATTTGTGAGGACCTGGCACTGACAGATTAAATGAATACGAATCATCATCAGCAGCATAAACCCCTTCTGCCATTAAGGATCATGGAAAGGAATAGTTTGCAATCCAAAATCCTGTGCACACTGGTGGGCACTGGCTATCATGCCACGAAGGTTTAAAGTGTTTTTAATGTTGCTAATTCATTTTTTCTTGTAGCTGATCTTCTGAGATGTAGTGTGTGATGACCCTGCTTTGCATGGTCTCCACGAGTACATTGTGGCAAGCAGGAAGTCCGTGCTACGAGTGACGGCACGAGATACTTGTGGCCGGTGGAGTAAGCGAGGGGAAGCCCGAGCTAGCCTCGTGGTCAGTCGATCATCAGAAGTCAGGGAAGAAGGTTGTAGTAATTGAAGATGTAGTTTTTATGTCGCGAAAATGGTTAATGTTCGAATGTGTCGCGAGTGATAAAGTGTGAATAATGTTTGAACATGTGAAATAAATGGACCAGAATAAACTGACAGAATGTACAAAGGAGCTGAGCGGCGTTTGTGCTGTCAACCCTAGACGTTAAAGTAGTGCAAGTTTTGTAGCAGTAACATCCAGAGAGTGAGCTGTGGCTAAAGCCAATAAGTAGGGAGTCAAGGTGCATGATGAGTGAAGTCGGTGTAAACCAAGGTTCTTTCCAAGCCGAACCAAGGTACATTCCAAGTCAAGCCTTGGTTCATTTCATAGTGCCTGTGATGTTATTTGCGGTTGCTGCATCTAACAAGATGGCCACACAACTTGTTTGCTATTTCTCTGTGAATTTAGTGCAAAACATTGTTCCCACAAATTTTATGATAGTATCATTATTCACTCGTTTTCTGACTGTGATGATTTTGTATATGAGCTCAGATAAAGTCCATGTTTGGCCCGGGAAACTTAATGTTGGTATGAATAGGCTGTTATTATTCTTTTTTTTTTCTTTGTTCATAGTTATGTTTTGATGTCTTAAAAAGCGTGGAAATTGGTATATAAGTACATCTGCTTATGTATGGCCATCCATAAGTAATTATCTTTATGTAATTCATAGCAGGAGTCTTAAGCATTTTTGGAGACAGACATGCATGTAAGAGGATTATCTTCAATTTATATGGCTTTCTCCATAAGTGCTTTGGTAGATTTCTCTTGGAAGAATCTCCACAGACAGCACAAACTATAGCTCTCAAACAATGCAGACAACTGCTTTGAGTAAGTTACAAACATAACATCAACAGTGTGATGTGCTCCTTAATGTAGGAACATTTGATAACAATTTCAGGTGAACATGACACACATTTACAAGGAATATTTCCTATCTGTTAGCTTGTATGTGCATGTATGCACGCAGGTGTATAGCTGTATGAGTGCATGTTTGTTTTGTACTTATGTGCCCTTTGGAAACAAGCAACAGAATCAGTAGAGAACCAAGATTATTATGGCCTGGAGAGAATGAGGAACCTGGGTGTAACCAGAGGGTGTGGCCGGCTCACTTCACTCAGAGGAAAGGCAAGATATATAACCAGATTGTAACCTGTACCATCAGTATTTGAACTCTACACTGGCTACTGAAGATGAGGACAGAGCACACAAAGGAATGCCCTGAGTGCTGTGATGTCAATTTTTGACTCGACTCAACTAAACTCAACTTGTGTATCATTATATTAGTTTGTTGATATCTCTAACATAACCATGTCACGCTCATACCTTATGGTTCTGCAATTGAGCTTTCTTTTCAGGAAGTGTAGCCTGCAAATAAGAGTCTTTCTTCAGCAATGTTTCCATATCAAGCAGCCATCTTTTGAAGTTACCAGAGTTTTCATCAAAAGTCTGCCACTGATTGAGGTTCATATTTAATCTTTGGTGGATCGCATTCATGTCATCAGTCAAAGCTTCCCAATCATCTCGAAGTTTCCTGAGGGAGAGTTAAAAAAATTCTTACAGTGATTGAGCCATATATGTTGCATGTTTGTTCAACATTCCAGAAATAGTGTGTATGTGTGTAAGTGTGCCTATCAAAAATTAATTTAAGAACCTTACCTTTTCTTCAGTTACCTTTCACATTTTATAAGACAATTTTATCATATTTCCATGCTAATAAGTAAAGTTATCTTTACTTTACTGTCTGTATTAGGTGACAGTAATACTTAACAAAAACACATAATTCACTCATACACACAATGTATGTGTGTGTGTGTGTGTGTGTGTGTGTGTGTGTGTGTGTGCGTGTGTGCGCGCCTATTAAAAATGAATTTAAGAACCTAACCTTTTCTTCACAGTTACCTTTCACATTTTATAAGATAATTTTATATTTCCATACCAATAGGTAAAATTATCTTTACTTTATTGTCTGTATTAAGTGATTCTATGACTTTTACTTTTACTCATACACACTCTCTCTCTCTCTCAGTGTTTGTGTGTGTGCATGTGTGCGTGTTTTTTGGGGGTTTTTTTTAGTGTGTTCACGAGTAACACTATTATCTACCAATATTGTCTATTGTGTTGACTGAGAAGTAGTTGAGTTATATAACTGATGGATTACCGAATATCTTCACGGATAATATCTCTACCAAGTGCAGATGTACTGGAAAACAAGCGCTCTCCACTTTCTATTGTCTGATGGATGTGGTTTGCTCCTTCATTTTTCTCAGCAGACAGCTCCTTCAAATTAAATAAACAAGAAATCAATTAGATAGCAAGGCAACATGTAGCAGCACTGCCCCAAATGTCATCTGTTACAAATCGATTCCTTAAATTAGTATCCTAAAATCTCGACTACTTTCTTAGCATTCTGATTAACATTTTAATGACAGTGTAATAGCAGAACGTGCTGATTATCAAATCTGGGTTTATTTGCATAAAGAACCAACATTACTGCACTTAGGACAAGCCATATGAGCTCTGTCTCCTCCTCCCCAGCCAGCTGAAAGTCCATTATCGTCTTGTTAACTGCTTATCTTGCCTTTCCCCTGAGTCTTTAGTAGCGCCAACAGCCCGCAGACACTTTCCCCTGAGTCTTTAGTAGCGCCAACAGCCCGCAGACACTTTCCCCTGAGTCTTTAGTAGCGCCAACAGCCCGCAGACACTTTCCCCTGAGTCTTTAGTAGCGCCAACAGCCCGCAGACACTTTCCCCTGAAGTACGGGTTTTCAATATCTTCCACATTATCTTCTACATTACTTGTTACCTTCTTTTACCGGCAAATGATCGCCTCTGCTGGTGCAGTTGCTGTAGACCCTTCAGTAGAGCCAGTTCAGCCGGAAAATCGGCCTTCTCATTCTCAAACATGGCCTGGACAAAATATCTCATCAACTTGGACCTCTGGATGGATGATGCAACCCATGCCATATGAAGAAAACCTGATTCCATCTTCCTGGGCATGCTTTGTGAATCTGCTACTATGACAACATGTGTGGCTAAGATTCTCCACCCATTGGAACACAGCAGTTGCCACGTTAAATTCCATTTTCATGCATGAGTTGACAAACAGAACAATTTTACATGTTAGTAGATCTGTAGACAGGTCAGAATGTGGCACCTATTGACCATTGTTCTCGTGGTCAGAATGCAACAATGTCTGATTATCTATGTTGTTTCTATTTCTGTTGTCAGTGCCTTGCTGGAAACATTATTTGCCATCCTAACTGAAGTGGGTTGATTTGTTGCTTTTATTTGTCTTGAGTTTCCCCCACTGTCCTATCACTGCTGATATTACTGCTACAATTCTTGTTCCCTTTTGCAATCAATGGCGAGAAGTTTGAACATTGCTACCTTTACTTTCTGTTCTTCTGCAACTCTCTCTAGTTCATCCAATGATCTTGCTGACAAATGTCCTCACATTCTGCCATCTCTTGACTGCTGCTCTTTAATCCTTCCATGCCTGCGCCACCTCTGGAGACCACAAAGGATGCTACCAGTGGGTATGTGTTAGCATTTTTGTCTGTGCCTTATTCCTGAAGCATCACATTATATCTAAGGTGTTACGTGGTTAAAGCCCTTTGGGAACATGAAATGAAGACAGACAAGAAACAAGATTGAGGAATGAGACACCTGGGTGTAACCAGAGGGTCTGCCGGATCACTACACTCAGAGGAAAAGCAAGATGGATATATAATCATATTACGACCAGTACCATTAGTATTGGAACTCAGCGCTGGCTGCTGAATATGTGGATAGAACACACATGGGAATGCTACGAGTGCTGTGATGTCAATTGTCAATTGTTAACTCAACTGAACTCAAATAATCCTAATTAACACACAAAACATACGGATTTAAAAGAATCAGGTAAATCAATTACTGAATCAATCATACAGTTAGGGAAAGAAACATGAAACAGATATATGGGGGGTCTCTGTGGCGAAGTGGTCAAGCTGTTTGCCTCGCCCTCTGAAGGCCACGGGTTCGGTCCACGGCTGCGCCCTTCAGTTCATGAGTGCAGTTTTTACGAGATCTCTGGGGATCGTCACCTGAGTTATATATAGAGGTCGTGCTCTATGTGATGCTCTTGGCAGACAATAAGCCATTCTGCAGAAAGAGACCGAGCCATATGGGATAAAACCAGGTGCAATGAAGCTGATACTCTTGACTTTTTAACCTTTATGAAACAGATATCACAGATGTCGCATCTCACCTGTAGCTGAACCAAGTGAGCTTCCAATTCCTGCTTGTCATATGCTAGCTCGCCACAAATGTTGAGTCTACTCCTCAGTGTGTCTATCCACTCAACACAGTGTTTATAGTTGTCACTGAAAGCACAGTGCTCTTCTACAAAATCCTCCCACTTGATAATTACATCCTGCAATTTGAACAATGTGAAGCTTACATAATGAAAATGTACAGTGAAGATGGTATATGACAAATTCAGCAGGTTCTGCCATTAGTACTTGCCTCATGTTCTCCTACACATAAAAGCAAAAGTTTTATTAGTTTTTTTAAAGGTATTATTCATATCAATGAGCTTTTTTTTTTTTATAGTGTTAAGTTTGGAATTAATGTTTCAACCTAAGTAATGCTGAAAATGGGCAGAAGCACAAAAACTGGTTGTGATGAGAGTGACGCTCTGCAAAGAACTGATAATGATATAAATAAGACTTTACTCATCAATATGGAGGCAATCATTAAAAAAAAAAGAACTACATTTAATTTATTTTAAGGACTATTCGAATGAGAAATCATGATTAATTGGCTTATTTACTTACTCTTGCCTGATTTTTTAGAGTCTCATATTTAGTTGCTAATTGGGTGCTTTGATTTGTGAGCCGTGCATCTGGTGACTGGACTTTAGTGGCCATATTTTGGAGTTCTTTGAACTGAGCTTGTTTAGAAAAGATCTCTTCATCTAATTTCTATTATTAAAAAAAACATAAGAAAGAAATGATAAATAAGTATGTAATATAAACATTTTGTGAATACATATTAGCTAAACAATGTACAAATAAAAAAAAAGCACTAATTTGACATTAGTTGCATGCTGACATCATAAATATATATTTTGGCACTAAAATTGCAAACTGATTACGTCAAAATAGACACATAAAAACTCCAAATCATCATGTTTACTGTGAAATATTGATTAAATCGACAGCAAACAAAATCCAACTGTTTACTGTGATGTAAATTTGATAAATGGATTTTAAACTCAGTGAAAGGAGATTGTTTCAACAATAAAAAATAAAAAAAAAGCAGCAACTGGAAGGAGAGCCAAATCTTGTGGCTGGAGGCTTCATGCTCATACGGCCCATTAACATATTGGCAGATATACCTGAAAAAGGTGACTATTATTTTAAAATTCTTTATCTGGAGAGGAAGGGGCTGACCAGCAGGAAGGAAGCTGACCAGCAGGAGGAGGCTGACCAGCAGGAGGGGGCTGTCCAGCAGGAGGGGGCTGACCAGCAGGAGGGGGCTGACCAGCAGGAAGGGGCTGACCAGCAGGAAGAGGCTGTCTAGCAGGAAGGGGCTGACCAGCAGGAGCAGGAAGGGGCTGACCAGCAGGAAGGGGCTGACCAGCAGGAAGAGGCTGACCAGCAGGAAGAGGCTGACCAGCAGGAAGGGGCTGACCAGCAGCAAGAGGCTGACCAGCAGGAAGGGGCTGACCAGCAGTATGGGGCTGACCAGCCAGAGGGGGCTGACCAGCAGGAAGGGGCTGACCAGCAGGAAAGGGCTGACTAGCAGGAAGGGGCTGACCAGCAGGAGGGGCTGACCAGCAGGAAGGGGCTGACCAGCAGCAATAGGCTGACCAGCAGGAAGGGAAGGGGCTGACCAGCAGGAAGGAGCTGACCAGAAGGAAGGGGCTGACCAGCAGGAAGGGGCTGTCTAGCAGGAAGGGGCTGACCAGCAGGAGCAGGAAGGGGCTGACCAGCAGGAAGGGGCTGACCAGCAGGAAGGGGTTGACCAGCAGGAAGGAGCTGACTAGCAGGAAGGGGCTGACCAGAAGGAAGAGGCTGACCAGCAGGCAGGGGCTGACCAGCAGGCAGGGGCTGACCAGCAGGAAGGGGCTGACCAGCAGGAGGGGGCTGACCAGCAGGAGGGGCTGACCAGCAGGAATGGGCTGACCAACAGGAAGGGGCTGACCAGCAGGAAGAAGGCAACAGGATACAAGTGACACTTTAGGTAGGAAAGTGTAGAAGGCGATAAAGTTAGCATGATGAGACCAACATTCGGCAAAGGACCTGCTACATGAGGAAATGTAATGAGGATTTTTTAAATGTGCAATGGGGTGTTTGTATCCTACAGTATTTGAATTCACAATCATTTGTTGAATTTCTGATTCTGCAGCCCAGCCGGTCAGTTCCTGCACTCACCACCTAAAGTGATAGGAACCCTACACAAGTCTGAAACTGGTTCTAACACTTTGACCCACTCCTCACTTTGCACAAATTTATCAAGCCTGCACACAAAAGTTCATTAAATGATTTATGACAATTCCCACCCAGGTGTTATGATTATCTATACAGATGGTTCTGTGTTGAGGGGTCTTAACAAAGTGCATGGGAGTTCACAGCAAAAGCGAATGGACGTCACTTGGTGCAACAAAGCCTGGCATATATCACAACATCTAGTTTGAGAATGGAGGTGCAGGCAGTCACTGCTGCCTTCTGCTAGCATGTTGAGAAAGGTGGAGAGAAGCATGCTCCGTGCAGAGCGGCAAGCATCACTTCAAAGGTCCAGGGTAGTTAGCATCCTTTGGATATTTTCTCCAGGTGATGCCGATGTGTTGGGAAATGAGCAGGCAGATAGACTGGCTGGTTCTACACCGCTTGGTGGTGAACTGGTGTATGACAGGCTGGATGTTGTGAGGGCTCTTTGGGAGTAATTGAACAGTGCGGAGGCACAGATAGATCATTACGGTCTGGGGAGAATGGCACTGGAAGGAGTTACCAGGGGATCTGGCCAGCGCTCAACACTGAGGGGAAAGGTGAGATGGATATACGATCAGACAGTTACTGGTGCCATCAGAATTGAAAGATGGAGATAGAGCGCTTATGGGGGTATCCCAAGTGCTGTGATGTTGATTCCTAATTTAACATTCAACATTTAACCTTACAGAGTGCCTTTCCGGGTAAGACAATAATGTTATATCTCTCCAGGTGTTGCAGTGTGAAAGATCACCTTTGTTTGGTAGTGGGATGATTACATCATTTTTCCAGTCTGCTGGGACCACTTCATTTATCCACATATTGTTGAATAAAGGCTGCCTAGCCGCTACGTTACGTTATTTGTGTTGTTTTGTGCACGTTTTTGGTTCAGATTTTTAGTTAAATTTCCCTGGAATTCCTCGTATTAGCTTGACTGCAGTCACCCCCATATTTTCACAATTGTTTGGGTCTGCCTTTAACATGTCAGCACTAATTTGGTCTTCACTGGATGCCTTCCCATTCTTCATACTGCTTATTGCTGTTTCTATTTCTTTAACACTAATTATTCTAATGTGTATTTCTAGGAGTTGACCACAGTTTTCTATTGTTTCCCCTGAGATATCTGATGCTGGCCTATTTAGCAACTCAGTAAAATATTCTTGCTATCTGTCAACATTTCCTCTTTCCGTTGTGATTATTTCTCTTGCTGTGTCTCTCAGGTTTCTTTTATTAAAGCTAAAATGTTTCCATCTAAGATCCTTTGTTATTTTATATAATGTTCCAGTATCACCTGTCATTGCTCCTTCTACCGCTTTGGCAGTTTTAAGCTCCAAGTATTCCTTTTTATCTTTCTTTAAGCTTGTCTTTACTTAATTATGGTTGGTGTTATGAGCTTTCTGTGCAGCCATCTTTTCCAGTGTGCTCTTTGAAATATTTATTTGCTCTTTTTGCATTTGTCTTTCTTCTATCTTTGACCAAGGTTCTTTAGATATCCATTCCTCTCTTACATGTTTCTTAATACTGAGTATTTTCTGGGCTGCATTGCAATACACATCTTTAGACTGTGCCCATTCTTCCTCAATATTTGCTGTCTCTTGTAGCTGGTTAAACCCCTCAAACTAGTTTCTTAGTTCCATGCAAAAATCTTCTCTGAATTTTAATGTTCTGAGTTGGGCTGAACCAAAATAAACCAAATAATTTTTTTTTTTTTTTTTTTTTTTGCTTCTTCTTTATTTAAGCTTCAATCTAAAAAATCTAAAAATTACTATGGTGTGGTCGCTCCAGATGTATGGTTTCCTCTTAGCAAATACATCTTATATTGAGGTCAGACCACATAAGGCTCGGTTAACTCTGGATAAAATTAACCATCTAGGGTGGGAACTTCTGGAACCTCCACCTTACAGCGCCCGGTTTTAGCCCCTAGCGATTTCAACCTTTTTGGTCCACTGAAACACACTTTGCGAATGACGCAGAAGTTAAATGTGAAGTAAAAATGGGGTTTAGAAAACACAGCACACAGTTCTATGGAGCAGGTTAGGGAGGATATAAATTAATGGGACAAGTGCATCAATGTTGGTGGAAATTATGTTGAAAAATAAAGGGACAGTGTATGTGGGAAAAAAAACTGTTTTCAAGTTGTTATCATCTTTATTTTTTTTTTTTTAAACAAGCATTTGAGACTTACTAAGTGACTTCCCCTCGTATGTGTAAAGCAAGATTATGTGCACCAACACAGGTGTGCATGTGTAAACGAACTTAAGTTTTCTTGAGTTAAGCACAGAAGCAATGTAACCACTTACCCTCACCATCTTTTCCCAAAAGTACTTATGTTGGCAAGCTAAAATAATGCTGAACATTCAAAACGCCACCCACCCCATCAACAGTGCACACACATGCTGAGGGATTGGGCTGAGGATTCATTAACACAACATTTTGTCTTCAGTTAAAAGAAAACATTTTTAACCAGCACAACGTCTTCATTGGTGCACACTGTTGTGAAATGATTCCTAAAAAGTTACAGTAATCCAGATTAATGTGAAATTTATTTTCACTAAACGTTTACTCAAAATGTCCAAGGTCATGATAGGACAATTATATATGTGACACATAAATGACCAAATGTCCACTAAATATGCTGAATGTAAAGATATACAAATAAATATATTTATAAAAATCTAAATGAGCAACTTGCCACTGAGGCTTTCCAAGATCAGAAATACATAGTGAAATGTCAATGACAAACTGGTCACTACAGATTTCCAAGGTAATGCTATGCAGTGCATTTATATTGTAAAATTGGTAAATTTTTATATATATATTTTTTTTTAATTCCAAACCTTGAATTTCAAAACTTGGGTCTCCTTTTCTTGGAGGCTTTCTTTCAGTTCACAGTCCTTCAACAATGTTTCTGTCTTTTGTAACCAACAATTAAGTGTTTCAAATGAATCCATATACATTTCAGCAGCTGGGCAAGTAAAAAAAAAAATAATTTAATGACAAGCGTGACCACAGAGATCAGCTGTGTATTAAACATACATATGAGTTAATGCTGTATACACACTTTATCTACAGTATTATCCCACATCACACACAAACCATGTAGGAAAACAGCATATAATGCCTCAATGCTGAGAGACTTGAATGGAAGCTGACAATTTCATTCAAATATCTAATGTTTTTTTCTTTGCACTTGATTATCTTTTCATAATTATAACATCTGATGTAAATAACTTATAAATACAAATGATCCATCTAGTATTTTTGTAAAAATGACATTGGAAGGGGTTTCAAATAAAGACTCTTTTACTTTGGATGTTTTCTCCAGGTCATGCCAGCGTGGTGGGGAATGAACAGACAGACAAATTGGCTGGATCTGCACCACTGGGACAAGACAGTTGTGGTTAAGGCCCTTTGGGAACATATAACAAAGTCAGAAGAGAAATAAGATTTTTATGGCCTAGAGAGAATGATGCACCTAGATGTAACTAAAG